AGACCTTAGAAGTGAAAGCAAGGAGGCCCAGCTGGGGACCAAGCCTGTTCCACCTCTCCGTAGGCCTGGCCTTTCTCAACTTTCTCACTTCACGGGACAGAAACTATAAAAATTTAGGGTGTTTTCAAACTATTTCCTCACCATGGCAGTAGTGCTACAAATATGCCAATGAGCCCTGTCCTAATGTCCTCTTCTCCCACCTATCCTGTCTGAAAAAACACCACCAATGACAAAGGTGCCATGAAACATGGCTTCACTCCATCTTGCCCAATGTGAAGAAACTTGCTCACACTGTTACACTTTTGCTTTTGGTTCCCATTTGAAATCAGGCCTAAAGCACCCACTTTTATAAGGCAATCTTCTTTTTCACAAACTCAATTTTCACTTGACCTAGTCTTAGCCGTTCTGCTTTTGCTCAGTTTAACATCTCATGCATATTCCCCAAGTTATCAAGTTGCCTGCTTCTGAAGGGGAAAGGCCTAAAAGGACAAAGAAGATTCTAAAAAAAATCAAGGGCAAGATTACAGCATTTCTAGGCATCAGGTCACATGCTCCTTGACTTGACTTACTATTGTTAAAGATAAAATTATTCTGACACTTTTTTAAATGGTAAAGACTTTATTGGAGAGTATTGCAATAGAGGCATGGCAATAGGGACGATATAGATCAGGCTCAACTGTAAACACAGCAAAGACAGTTGGGGATTTATATCCAAGGAGCAGAATGGGCGGGCTGGCGGGCGAGCTGGCAGGCGGGCTGGGGGTGGAGTGGGAGTCAGTGAATGGAAAATCATGAAGAGGAGTTATCAAGGGCAGGGGAATTCTTGCTAAATGAGTTAATAAGATTCTTACTACAACTGGACTAGGCAGGCAAAAGACAGGCCCCAAGGATGAGCCTAGTCAAAAAGAAGGATCACAAGAGCCTAATATTTGATCAAGAAGATAGTCTGTCACTCTTCAGGCCCTCAAGAAGTCTTTCTCCATTTACTGGGATAGACTCTGTCAAATGGAAGGGACTTGTTTGCTTGGAGCCCTAAGAGGAAGGCTTAGATGTCTCTCATCCCTTAACACAATATAATGTCCCACTTTGAGTAATACATATATTCAAATACGTATAAATCTCAATCAGAAGTTACTCAGAGTTTATCTCATGATTTCATCTTTTAACATGGAAACATAAGCACTCTCATTTCATTAGTTTTATGTCTATTTTTAAGATTTTTATTTTTTTAATTTTTTTCACTTTGTGTTTCTTCTCATTTGTAAAGTAATAGTTGCTTACAGTTTCTTCAATAAATAGGAAATTATTCATTAAAATAAATAATAAATGTATTTAAATTCATAAAACAGACTGAAGTCTAATTCATTTTTTGTTTATGGTTGGCTGTGTAATATTTGGACCATCTCTTCTCCACATCCCGCCACTGAAAACAAAATATAAAGGATGAAATGTAAAATTCTCCTTAAAAGTACCAAATAATTCGCAAACGAGAAAGAAACCATCAGATTAAGAATCTATAGGGAGAGACAATTAAGGGGAACACCAAAGTACCCAGTCCCTTTGGCCTCCAGGACATTTGGTCAGTTGAGCAGAATTTGCCTTCATTTTCAGGGACCTCACAGGGGGCAAAGAGTAGAAGGTAGAAAAAGGCCAAAGGAAACAATAACTATGAAATATATATATATATATATATATATACATATATATAATTAAGTATTTTCCCCTAATGCAAGCACCTATCCCAGATGATTACAGGTTGCTATGAATTTTCAAGAAAAAGATGATTCTAATCTTATTTAAAATTTCTGAACAACTTTTATAACCTTGGTGCTTAAACCAAACATGGACTGTGACTGAAGAAAAAAGTACAGACCCACTTCATTTATGAATAGTAAAAATTTGAAGATACTAAAAAATTTAATCGATAGTTCTATAAAAGATCATAAACTATGATGAACTTGGATTTATCTCATGAATGCAAGGCAATTTAACATTGCAAGAGGAATAAATGTCATACACCAATTTTCTAAATAAAGGAGCGAAGTATAGGTCATCACGATTGACACAGAAATAAAAAAAAATATTTGGTAAACTCAACAGCATTCACGATACAAACTTTTAGGAAGCCATGAATAGAAAGGAATTTCCATGATATAGTTTTTTAACAATTAGTCATGCTCTGTGAAAAACTACTTTTCAATTCAGTGGCTTAAAAAACAAGCACATCAAAGATCTAAAAGTATGCTCTGGAGTTATTGTGGTCTTGCCTGGGTTGTCAAGCATCTTTCATCAGCATTGGGTTTTTCAAAACTTGTTGATTATCTGTATGTCTCCTTTTGAAAAATGTTTCCATTCTTGTTCTTTGCCCACTTTTTAATGTTTTTATTTTTGTGTGTGCGGAATTGTTTGGATTTCTCTTAGATTCTAGATATTAATCCTTTGTCACATGCATAGTTTGCAAATAATTTTTACCATTCTGTTAGCTGTCTATTCACTCTGTTGATTTTTTTTTTTTTTGCCGTATAGAAGCTTTTTAGTTTAATTAAGTCCCATCTGTCAATTATTGTTCTTATTATGTTTACTTTTGAGGTTTTAGTCATAAATTCTTTGCCTAGGCCAACGTCCAAAAGAGTTTTTCATAGGTTTTCTTCTAGAATTTTTATACTTTCAGGTCTTACATTTGAATCTTTAATCCATTTTGTATTAATTTTTATATATGGTGAAAGATAGACAGGACTCTTAGATATATCATTAAGGCTATTAACTTTTTCCTCATTTTTTCCATTGCTTTCTATTTTCCTGTTTTAATGTAGTTCATGCATTAACTGTTCATTCTAGCCCTTCACTTGATGTCAGTTCGTCTCCCTTTCACAACTTTTTCTAATGGTTCAGTGTTTTAGCTAAATAAAAGCTTTTGAGGGGCATTGAATTTTAATAATTTCATATTTGTTTTTTAATTCAAGTTGTTATTTTTCTCATCTAGCTACTGCATTTGCTGAGTCAGAGGTCTGCTTGGTTCTGAGGCTGCAAGGCCTCTATAATAAGGCTGCTAAGCCCCTTTAAGTGGGCTGCAATTTATTTTTTTAGAGTTACTGGATAGCAAGTATGTTGAACCCTATAAGTGGTGGAGTATAAAGTGTTCCCTACTCCTGTGAGCTACTGGAATACCAACAACAACAACTATAGCTAACAATTAATTGAGCACCTACCATGTACAATGGAAAATGTTAAGGATCTGGATAAGAATTCATATATTTATTCTTCACAACATCCATCTAAGGTCAATAGTATGATTCCAGCCATTTAATAAATGAGGAAAGGACTACAGAAAGTTTAAATACCTTGTCTGAGGTCACAGAACTAAGAATAGTTAGAAACAAAGTTTAAAATCAGACTAGTCAGGCTTCAGAGTTCACACTTAACCACTAGGTTAGGCAAACTGTCAGCCTACTTCTGAGGCCCTTTGAGGAGGCCTCCCAACTTTTCCCGGTTTTCTTGGATTCTCCAAACCTAAGGTCGAGGGAGGCCTCAGGTAAAAAATTCAGTTCTACCTTGGATTTTTTCCATATAGAAACAACAGGTAAAAACAAGTCAGACTCAATTGACCTTCCAATCATTAGTCCATTTGTTTCTCAAGTCAAGCCCTTTCTGCCACCTGCTACTTTTCATTACAAGCCTTAAAATTCCCAAAGACCCCCTCAACTGATCTTCTGTTACACAGCCCAAGGGAGAAATTCCCATAAAGGCTCCACTTATCCCCAACTACCTATAGGTTCCAAGACCCCTTGGCTCAGACAGAAAAGATAAATTTGAGTTGGGATTGGAGAGGAATGGAGTCACATTTGGGTTCTAATGTTTTAATAATTTAAGAAATACTGACATTGTTTAACTGTATATATGGGTACATGTGTGTTGAAATTATTTCTGCATTTTTCAATGTTATTATGGTATTCATTATGTCTATTAACCAAGTATTTCCATTACTCCCACTGGATACTGTTAAGATCAGTGATATCTGGCCAAAGGATAGAGCCAAATCCATAGACTTATTTAAATAAATACCTGACCTATCTCTGAAATTCTGCCAGAACCCTCCACAGCAGAACATAAACAGGACTCAGAGAGCAAGATAGCCAAGTTATGCAATTCATACAGGTCAGCCATTTGATACATAGAGAAGAAGTAGAGAAAACTGAAGAGTGGACAAAGAGGAGGAAATAAAAACAGCTACCAAAAAAAAAAAAATCCAACATATAATATTATCCAACTTATATTTAAAGGAAAAATACATACAGATTATAGTAATATTATAGGTCACTTTGTATTCACTTATTTCAATTCTATATTACTAAATATTCCATATTGAAAAAAGTTTATTTTCTATAAGTGGAAAAATAGTTATTTTTGTATTTTTAATCATACTTTTGGATAACTAAAATATACTGTCAAAATGCTCATAATATAAACAAGGGAAAAAGTAAAAAAACTATGCAAGAAAATACTCAATTGTTATAAACATATTTAACATATAAATATATACAAATTAAAATGTATAGCTTTTTAGGCAAATATATGGTAAAGAAAGCATAAAGATGTTATCAGTGTTTATTTCACTGTTTATTTCAGTGTTTATTCCACAGTGTGGAATTATAAATAGGGTGAACTTTCTTTTTAGTTTGCCTTGAGAAGTCAGTTCATAGCAGTTGTCCAACTTTGGAAATAAATTATATAATCACCTAAATAGCGTAAACACTTTATATTCTCTACTTAATTTATTTAAAATTTTTTGTTTCTATGTTCATATAAAGCATTAATGTTTATGTGAAAATTAAAACATGAATATATATGAGGCATAAAAGTGTAAAGGTATAAGAAAAAACAATATGATAAAGTTCTTTTAACATATTAGTTCAAAACCTATGTAGAACTTGACTTGAATGTCCTTAAATGAAAATAACTAAATATAAGTGTTTACATTGAACATCAGGTTTGAGAAACTGAAATATATACTAGTGAGCTCTTCATTTGTAAATACATTTAAAAAGAAGGATGCCATTTTGTTTACTTTCTAAAATATGTGAGCCAGAAAATGGAGTAGTCCACAGAAGCCCGGGAAAGGAGCCAAGTCAAAGACCACAAGGTCTAATGGCTACAGATAGCCTCACACAGCTTTCAGTACAGCATTTTTTTCTTCATGTATGGATCCCTGACACTTGAACTGTATCAGAAAACTTGAAAATACAAAATGTCCTACTGGTCTAATGTTGACTGAAGAAGAGGAAATCTGTGAAGCCGTGGTCTACAAAAAAATGTTATTATTGAAAAGAAAAGATGCCTGTTGAGGGTGGGTAGTATTAGACTTCAGTTTGATTTTATGTAAAAACTAAAAGCAAAAGTGCAGCAGTATGAGCAAGTTTCTTCAAATTGGTCAAGATACAAGGCAGCCATGTTTCCTAGCTCCTTTGTCTTGGTGGCATTTTTTTCAGATTGGACGGGCGGGAGAAGAGGGCATGGGGGCAGGGCTACTTAACTTTTCTGGAGTCATACTGCCATCACGAGGCAATAGTTTCACAAAAGCCAAAGTTGGTCGTTAGATCTAAAGGTTGAGAAAGGTCTGGCAAATTCAAAGGCTGCATGGGCCCTGACCCCAAGCTGAGCCTCCTTTACTTCCACTCTTATGCTTTCCAGGAGCTCAGGATAAAGGAAGAAACCTAGTGAAGAAGCTGCTGAGTGAGGGGCCAGGACTGGTGCAGGGCTCTGGTTTCTTCTTACTGTGGGCAAGACTAGAGAAAATCACTCAAAGTCTATGCAGAGCTTCCAGGCATTTGTCTTTGGGCCCTGTCCCTTGGACCATGAGGCAGTTGAGATGGCACAAAGTGTCTCTGTACTTCTAAGAAAGTAGAAATACTTGAGCATTCAGAGAAAGCCCAGATGCCATCATTCATTGGGAAAGCATTAACCTTCAGTTGCTGAACTATAAGAACAATTATAAAGTGAGAATAATGGAACATATGAAAGGCAGTGCTCCAATGAAAGCAGCAATTACTAAGCAATTTAGTAGATTGATTATTGAAATGGAAAAGTTATTATTGATTTCGTTAGAATATCAAACTAAGTGTAACATTCCTGTTAGCCTAGCATTGGTGCAATATTAGGTGAGTGTTAACCTTTAATACCGTTTTTAGAAATTTCTCCTATCTCCTATCTAAGCTTTTTAAATGTGTTTGTTTTTATGTTCTGTTTGATTGAATTAAAAGAACACAATAGTTTCTGTAACTTATTATACCATAGGGTATTATTAACATAGTATTATACTGTATTATTACCACATGTGAGCCATTATAGTATTATAACTATTATTATTATCATCATATATGCACTGTTCATCAGGGATCTGAGTTACATACAAATCTGACCTAAAGATGTTCTCAGGAACATATCTTGTCCGTAACCCAGGGACTACCTGTGTTGTTTTCTGTGCTTACTCCTTAATTTTTTAACTGAAGAACATTCCTTGTAGGCCTGACAAAATGTCCTTCTTTGGAAGGGAGTTGAGCACAGCAGGACCTCCAGAATCCTTGCCTCTTTTAGTGCCACTCTTCTGTTTAAGAGATGATCTCACTATATGACCCCTTAGAGAAAATGTTGAGCAGTCCATGGAAAAAAGCATTAGCATTTTGGTCTTCTGTTCTCTATTCTAAATCTATTTGATTAGAATATTTGTATAAATGTGTGTGCATGAGAGCCCACAGGTTTGCTGGTATGACTTTAGACTTCTACATAGTATGGGGATCTCCTTGGGTTTTGAGTTTTTTCCTTCTATCATATTTTTCCCAGGCTTGGTATTATAAGGCCACCTTACTGGTCATTAAGTATCCTTCTCATGATGGGAATGTGTGTTACTTAGAAATTTGCTTAAAGATTTTTTTCTTCACCATAAAAAGTGACCTTTTTCATTTCCATATATAAACAGAGCTATGTACAACTTTTAGAGAAACAGATTCATATACCGAAAGCTGAGAGGTATACCTTGGTTTCCTCATTTTAAATGTAAAACTTGCTTTAATATTTCAAACTTTCAGGCATATATAAAGTTAATACTTTATGACATGATCTTAGGAAAATTACTCCAGAAAGGTAGATACAGTAATAATTATGTTAGAAGATTTCTCTTGTTCATATTCACTCTCCAAATATATATACATTTAGGTATTCAACTTATGATAATCATACATGGAATAAGCAGAGAAAGACTTTATTTTTCCCTGTTTTCTTTTACGAGTAAACTAGGATGGTTTGATCGCAAAGATCCAATAATTTGCTTTAACCCTTAATTAAAGGTGTAGGATACTGTTCCTGATCAGGATATAGTGAATGGAATTCGGTCTTTACAAGGACTTAAGAAGACTACTTGGTGTACCTGAACCATGTGAGATTCAATCTATTCAAGAAAGGTCCTTTGCCTCTCCCTACTGTCCAACATTGCAAAGGAAAACTCAATGAACCTACTTGTCGTTACTCTCTTTCCTCCTATGGGAATGTGGCCCTGTGATCACTTTTGAAAGGCAGAGTCTTTTGGACAAAAAGTATGTCATGTAAAAGGTTAACTGATGCACACAAATTGCCCTCCAAAGAGTTAAACCAATTGACAATGCTTCCCATCTTGTAAGAACTTGTCCAATTCTGCAAATGATCACATAAATTTGATAATATCAGTGGTTCCGTGTTCAGCAGCTCACTGAGGGAAACACTGGTGGGGGAAGCATAATTGAGAATTTGTTGAATTGTAATCTACTTGAATATTAGTGAATTTGAGAACCTCTACAAATGGACTTTTTCCATGACCATTTTTTCTTCTGGTTAGTTTGTACCTGGTTTCTTTCCCCCTTTCTTGCTGAACTGTTGTTCTTAACTTTTTCATTTTGGAACAACTGATGATCTGTGATGGATGTCAGTGGTTGAAAGGCAGTAAACACCGACAACAGTTGCTTGTGGTTTCTTCTTTTGCTGTTCTTACTACATCTGAAACATTGAAATTCAGCTAGGAGCTATTGCCTTAGGCTTCTATCCACTGTAAGGCCATTTGGCCTATATTAAGTACAGCTGAGGTGAGGTGAGGCCAACACAACATTACAGGGCCTGAGGAATTCCTGAGCTGATGCCACCTGTAGTATCGTCCACAATTCTGTCTCCATACATTTGTCTACCCTACTTCAAGCATATGACCAAGTCCAAAAGTGGCTCCAAGGCAGGTACCCTAACTTATCTGGTTCTGGCTTTCTTCTTTTGGTTTTATCTGAATCATGTCAGCAGGTCAGTAGCCACATTTCCCCTTCACAAGGTACCAGGATCATTAAGGCATACTTTGCCAAATATCTCCAAGACACTCCTGAGAGCTAATGATACTCTCTGTCAATCATCAGTTGTTGCCTCTCAGCTCTGTATGCACTCTATAATATATGTTCAAAGATAAACAGTGAGAATCCACCCCTAACCCGGCGCCCCCACACACACGCTGAACTCTGACTCTGCTGCCAAATGGGGGCCAGGGCCCAACGTGCTAGAATACTGTGCCCCAGAGTGTTTTCCTCTACCTCATGGAACAAGGGCAGGAGGCAAATGACCAGAAGCCCTGCACTTGGTGGTGAATTGATTCCTCTAGTTCCGCCTGCACTGGAAGGACACAAAAGCTCCACCTCCAGAACTTTCTGCGCATGTGTTTCCTGTCGGCGGCCTGTTCATGTCTGGTAACTCACTAGAGCTAGCTTCTACAACTATATCACGCCTTTGCCACAGCTCCTGAAGGCCAGGAGAGATGAAGGCAAGGGCATCGTGCTGAGGGCCAGGGGCTTCTCAACCTCCCCACAGGTCCAATCTTCCTCAACTTCCGGGTCCCTGGGAGGAAATACCCATGGCTTAGTGCTTCATCAACCAACTTCCTCACGATGGCAGTAATGCTGCAGAAATGTCAACCAGCCCTGCCCTCTCCTCCCGCCCTCCCTGTCTGAAAAAAAATGCTAACAAAACACAAAGGCACCAGGAAATAAAAGTGTTTTATATCTTGCCCAGTTTGAGGAAATCAACTTACACCCCTGTAGCTTTGCTTTTGCTTTCTATTTCCATCTAAAATCAAAATGAAGCCTAAACCACCCACCCTCATCTTGCATGTTCTTTTCAAGCATTACATTTCCACCAGACCTCTGGCTTCACAGTTCAGCTCTTCTTCACTCAACATTAGTTCTTCAGCATTTTCCCAACTTACCATGTTGACTTCTAGGGACAAGTCTTAGGATTCCAGGACTAAATGGGAGAAGAAAGTGCTGGAAATTCCAGGCCTGTAGAAGACCAACTCTAGTCACCTGGCTTCATGGTCCTTGACATGACTTCCAAGCTTCCGAAAGAGTCTCCCTCCATTTTCTAGGAGACACTAGTCTTTTTGTGGAAGGCTGTTATTTGGCTCAATTCCTGAGATTCTTTTCTTATGACCTATATAGCTCTTATTGGTTTATGACACATCCTACAAGGGGCACCAAATGTACCTTTATGTTTATTTTTTAAATCAAATAATTGTGTACATTAATTATTTTTCCCATGTTTCTATCACTTTCATTGCAAGAGGAGCTAATTTCTGCCTCTCTATTTTAGAACAGATATAAGATTATACTGTTTCTGGTGAATCTTAAGGACATACTTTTGGACCTTATTAAGATTTCAATCACATTCATATCTATATTTTGAATTTTCAAATTATTTCCAATGTTTCCAATTCTTGGTGAATTGACTCTTTCATCTTTTTTGTAATTTTCCTCTCTTTCCACTGGCTATAATCCTTATTCTAAAGACTACTTTGTCTGAGATTAATAGAGACACTATGGCTTTCTTCTGATTAGTTTTTGCTCGGTATATATTTTTTCATCATTTTATATTTAACATGTCTATATCTTTATAGTTAAAGTAAATTTTCTGTAACCAGAATATAGTTGGCTCTTACTGTTTTATCCAATCTGAAAATCTGTCTTTTAGAGTGTTTAGATCACCTACATTGAATGTAATTATTGATATTATTGAATTATTTAATCTGTCACTTTGCTGGTTGAATTCTATTTGTTCCATTTTTTATCTTATGCAAAATTCTACTGGATCGACTATTTTTTTATGATTCCAGTTTTATCACTACTATTGATTCATTACTTATCTTTTAAAAATTTCTATGTGGTTTACTCAGACTTTAGAAATATATACAGAGAATCTCAGTCTGATATCAAATAATATACTGTTTGTCATCTAGTGTAAGAACCTTATTACAATGTACTCTAAATTATTTCTTTCCATCTTTTGTGCTGACATACCTCTTAATTTTATATATGCTACTATTTTTCCTCTAAATAGCCAAATATTTTTTAGAACAATTAAAAGGTTAAAACATGTCTTCACGTTTACCTTCATTTTAACCATTTCTATAAATCTTCATTTCTTTGTGTAATCCCTACTTTCTGCCTGGTATCACATTCCTTTTGCTCCTTTTTCTTGAAGAGCTGTCTTTAATATTTATTGTAGTGAATGTCTGATGATAATAAATTCTCTTAATTTTTGTCTAAAAAAAGTACTTTTCCTTATTTTGAAAGACATTTTGCATGGTAAATAATTTTGAGTCGACTGTTTTGTTTTCCAACATTGTAAATCAAGAAGCGACTCCATTTCCTTATAACCTTCAATAATGTATGACCGTAAGTCTGCTGTAAATCTTATTTTTATTCCTCTCCATGGACTATCTTGTCTTCTATGTCCAGCAGTCTTTTAGATGTTTCTCTTCATCTTTGGTTTTTAAGAGTTTGATTATTGATGTGTTTTTGTATGTGTGTGTGTGTGTGTGAATGTGTGCATCTAATCTACTTGGGTGGGTTTCTAAGTTTATTAGTTCTATGGTTTTTTATTATTTTTAAAAAATTATTTTTTAGAAGTCTTTTATTATTTCTAAAAAATTATCCACTATTATCTTTAAAAATATTTCTTTTTCTCCTTCCCTCTTGTGAGACATTACTATATGTTAGACCATTTGATACTGTCCTACAGTTTTCAGTGTTTTGTACTGTTCCCCTCCCCCAACTCTTTCTTTTTCTCTTTTTGCTTCAGTTTAGGTAATTTCTACTGCCCTTTGTCAATTATTTTGAGTATATTGATGAACCCATTGAAAGTATACTTCACTTCTATTACTGTTTCCTATTTCTAGCATTTCCTTATAGTTTCTATCTCCCTTCTGAAAGGCATTATACCTTCTCTGTGAACCTGTGCCTGAGAAAAGGTCTCTTTATCCAGGTTCTCACACACCCCTCAGTGGCATACTGATACTTCTTGTTACTTGATGCTTGCAGGTGGCAGGTGTTCTCTGTTGTCCTGTCACAGCCTCCATCTCAGGCAGGTCCTGTGTCCCTGGGTGTCAGGAAATGGGTGGTCAGTAAACCTGCACCCTCCTCTGCAATAGGAGATCTCTATTACTCTGGAGAGTTTCTAACCCCTTGCCCAGGGGTAGAGGGTTTTTAATTTTCCCTTCCTAAGCTGCAATAGGTTTTCATCTGTGCCTGGCTACAAGGTTTGCTGTTCTTCTTCCGGTGGTTTAAAGCTTTTGTTCCTTAGGGGAGAAGGGTCCAGACAGGGCTTATGTCTTTCCCAAAGAAGTGGTTGCTCCCTTCCTCCAGCCTCCAGCCCTGAGGGAGGCTTTCTTCAGTCTATTGGCCTGTCCCCAATTTTTCTCTTGAGTCCCCAGTAAACGTCCAGGGCTCCCAAGGCTTCTATACTTTCATAGTAAACCTTGAGTAATGCATTAGAAAGTTCAGCTGAATCCTCATCTGCTTTTATGGTGTATCTGTTTAATTCCTGGCCTCTGCCATATGTGAGCTCGTACTTTCAACTTGTCTCTACTTAGAAGGAATTGTCTTTGCTTAAGATTTCAGGCTAATTTTTTACTTTGATTCCTCAGCTCTCTTCACCTCTCTGATTGATTCAAGACAGGTTAAAATTTTTCATAAGATTATCCAGTGTTTTTTGTTGTTTTAGGATGGAAATAGCACTTTTTATGGCCTTCTATATCTTAGCCAGAGCCAGAAGTCCCCAACTGCTTCTTGAACAGCTTAAAACCAGAATCCTTCATACTTCAGTGCCACATCCTATACCAGAAACCCCTGGATCAGGGGAAACAAATTATTAAGCCTGTGTGTGTGTGTGTTTGATTTAAATAAGGTTGTTTTTCTACTTTTCCTTCTATTGCATCAGGAGTAATTTTTCTCTCATTTGTTATTCATTTATCATTTCTCCACTTTCTTCCTGCTTCTAAATAAAAATGATGTTATCTCCTCTTAATTTTTCTGTCCTATAAATTTATAACTTTTAGGAAAATCTCTGTTTCCACCTTGGAAGGGAATCAGGAGAAACCAAAATTAGATGTCCGTGTTCCATCCACCACTCTGCCTGGAAATCAAGGTTTCCTTATCATTGTATCATGAGTACTTACCTATGTCATTTAATGCCACTTGTAAGTCTGATAATTTTTTAAATCCCTTTTTTACTGGAAATTACTTTACCCTTTGCAAAAATTGCACATGTAATATAGGCATGATGAAAATAATTAATAAAGTAAGTAATGGAGCAGCAATTAAAGGATGCCCTTGCCCACATTGTCCTAATATAAGCACAGATAGGTTTCAATTTGCTATACTTTTTTCTTACATATTATCTTTCTGAGTGGGTCACATATATACTGTATGTGGGAGAATCTTCAACTTCAATACTTGTATCAGATTCACTTTTGACATCATGAATTTTTCATAATGTCATTAGAGACCCAATTTTTTTAAATGCAAAGGTTAATTTTTAAAATTGTTACAATTTATATATAAAACAGACAATTTAAGCATCAAAATAAATACGCATTAAAAAATGACTCTTATTGATGATAATAACATAGAAATTTATTTTTAAATATATTTAAAAAACAGATGTTTCTCAATTTTTAAAAAGCATACTTTCCTGTGAAAAATTTTTTTTTAAAAAAAGGAATGATCACCTATTCCTAAACTGAATATGGTTGTATGATAAATTCTATTTGTACTTTGATGTTTATTATCTCAGATCTTAAAATATGTATAGGAATTCACATATTGCTTTGATCAATATTTATCTATTACCTGCCAAGTTCCAGATATTTTCTAGGCCTTAGGTATAAATGATTAAATAGAATTATATAATTGTGCACATATATTTACACATACACATATATTTATATATATATCTGTATTTTTTAAATTACATATAATTTAATATGTGTACATATATAATACACATATAACAAGTATGCATGCACAGATATGAGTATGTGCAAATATCAGTGCATATATTTATAAACTAGTGTATACAGAAGCACAATGTTTGTGGACAATTACTGCTTTTAAAACACTAGTAAATTTTAGTACATTTTCATTGATTTAGTAAATACTAGAAATTCCTCTTTTGTAAATTGGGTATTTAATTCCATTATTCATCTTGCCTTTGGTTTCAAGGCAATAGAAACCAATCGTTCAGCATTTTCTGTCACAGAAAGCTCACATCTAAGGACAACACTGTAAGATACTGGGCTATAAGGACAATGGACACCTTCCAGCTTCTGTTTACTGCTTGTTTGCTAACCGCAATGCATTATGAATACATTATGGGATGCAGAGGAAAAAGACAAAGAACGTGGAAACCCAAGTCTCTCAGCTAGGACCCGGACAGGTTAGAGCCTATCAGGGGCAGGATGAAGTAAAAATCACTGTGGGGGCAGATGCATGACCAGTGTGTAAACAACTGAGTTATAAAAAGGGGACTAACACACAAAGGAGGGTCTCTGCCCAGAGAAGAGGCCATTGCACTGGCACTCTGGGGGCTTGGACCGACCCTAGCTAGAGCTAGACAATAAAACTCCTTTTGATAATTACACCTTCGGTGACTCTGTCTCTCTGTCCTGAGGCCTTGTGAATCTCGAATATAACAAAGACTAAATCATCTTCCACTACTCTAGAGGTCAAATGCTAACAGAGTGAAGACAGTAGAAGAGGGGCACCAGAATGGTTCTCAGTTTGGCAGCAAACTTCAAGCAATCCTAGACATTCTTTCCCAAGTTGGGAACAAAAAGCACAGATTTGAGAATATTCAGCACCAAAACAATGATCATCTTCTCATGCTTACTACGTATCTTCATCTGGAACTCTTTATGAAGCAGTCACTGAGGAGAACAAAATTGTTCAGTATGAGGAGCACTGCTAGGCTTCAAAGACCTCAGCATCCTCTGGGAGAACAACAACAAAGATAAGCACACCTAACCCTCCTCCTCCAACCTCAACAAGAGAACTGAGACAGGAGTAGAGCCTTTCCCTTAAGTACGAGAAAGCAGACCAAGTCACTGTCATTACTGCTTTGGGGCCCAAAAAATCCCTTCTGGCCTTCCTCATATTTTTTGCCTCCTTTGGCCTGCCTCTGCTCCCCCATCACATGATACAGCTCTTCTTTGCTTAGTAGAGAGGCCGCAAATGCTTCTCCTTTAGTTCTCCTTCCTCAAGGCAACGGGTCCAGACTTTTGTTGTGTATGAAATCCCCCAGAAAGCACATGTGCTGTTCTATCACCTCAAAATAACCTGTCTTGTACAGTGTGATGCTGCTACCACAAGAAAACCACATTCTATCACTCTAGAACAAGGTCAACTGGCCTATACCATCCTCTGAGGGACAGGAACCAGAAACCAGAAGCCACATGACCTGCCCTGGGCTCTGGGAGGTGTTCTCCACCAAAGCCCCACCCAACAACTTCCTGTGCCTGGACTCCATTGTTCCCCTCAATAACAATCGCTGATACCTGGACATCGCCTTTGTTATATCAGCATTAATCCTGTACCTAGAGCTCCTGGAATAACTCAAGAGAAGCCAGAGAGGTCCAGTTCCAGGCCAGGCCCTACTCAGCCTCTCAACTGAAAGGACCCTTCTAAACCAAAAATCCTCACGGGAAGGAAGCAATATGGCATACAGTGTTTGAAAACTATTTCCGCACGATGGCAGTAGTGCTCCACATAGGATAACAAGTTCTGTTCCTAGGCCCTCTTCTCCCGCCCGTCCTGTCCGAAAAAACACAATCAAGACTTAAAAGCACCAAGGAATATGGTAGCCTTAACTTTTGCCCAGCTTTAGGAAACTTCTTCAGGCTGCTGCATTTTTGCCTTTGGTTTCCATCTGAAACTCAACTGAGGCCCAAATTCACCACTATTATCACACTTATTCTTTATTTAAGAATTAAATTTCCAAAAGGCTTTGCCTTACCAGTTTTGTTCTTGTTCATTCAGCATTACATCATTTCCAGCATTTACCCAGGTTATCAAGTTGTCTGCTTCTGGCCCAGAAGTCTGGAGAATGCAGGCCTAAACAGGAAAAAAAAATGCTGAAAACTCAAAGCTAGGAGGATATGATTAAATACCAATCCAAATGTCCCTGCCTGGCTCATGCATCTCTCTGGCTCCCAATGAATTCCATATTTTCTGCATAAAGACCTAGGTGTTGAATTTTGGGCAGCCATGCTAGTCTTAAGAGAAGCACTCAGAGGGTTCTAATCACTATACATGTCATACAGTGCCCTACATGGCAGGATATATAATTCCAATCAGAGGATACTCAACAGTTATGTCTTGTTATTTCATTTACCATTAAAAGACAAGCATTTTCTCCTGTCATTAAAAAACCTTCGATTGCTTCCTATTTCTACTGGGTATTTGGGGGAAGGGAGAAGGTGTGTGTGGGTGTCAGTATATTATTATTTATCTCTTCAGAGATAAGCCTCAAAACCATTTTCTCATTACTAGGACAGAATGTTTGCCAAGGATTTGGAAATAACCATGCAATGATAAAGAGTAAAGCACTGTCATAAAACCTATTAAGACCACTGATATACACTCATTGCATTGTCCCCCCCGAAAAAAACTGAAAAAAAAAAAAAAAAAAAAGATCACTGATAACCTTTTGGATTACGTCCTTCCACTTCTTTCAATACACACAAAATGTTATATTTATGTACATACACAACAATAAATTTATATTAAATTTAATGTATAAAATTATAAATATTAAAATTGGATGTTTGTACATTATAGTTTGCATAAGAAATTGTCATGCCTTATTTTTGGGCAATTTGACAATATTATATTAAATTGTTAAGTGTTCCTTTTCACTAAATCATAAAGAATGCTTTTTATTCACCCATTTATTATATATTTTCCATCTAGTATATTTAATATACTACACATTGTATACACATGTATGTATACATTTATATCCCTTTAATTACATTTTGACCCATACTGGGTGTACTTTTATACAAAGTCTTCTGTACCACCTTATGCATATTGCATGCTCCCATATCAACATATATTTTCCCTAGCTGGAATTTTGTCTCTACTGTATTCTAGAAAGGAGTTTCTCTTCCAAGGAATCACAAAAGTAACTTACTGTTGGCAAACTTTTCACATTTTAAGAATGTAAATTCTTAAAATATATTAAATTTTATTAAATAAGTAATTAAAGTTTATTAAATTTCACAGTTTAAAAAATCATAAAAAAGAAATAACCTTAAAATTCTTTGCCATACATGCTTATATCTTCCCTATCCATATATATTTTTAACATAAAGTCCCAGTTACCTTGTACCTCAAGTGTCCAGACATGCTTTCCACACATTATAGTTTGAGATCTTTGAAAACGTCATTAACTACTTCTTAGAATATGCAATATTTTTAATGTTGCCTCTCTATATAGTTTAACATTTTTTAGAATTAAAGCATACCTGTTTACAAAATAACCAGACACATTAGCCATGTAAAAAGAAATGTACTGAGGTCACAAGGTACACTCAATCAAGCAGACAAGGAATTTTAAAAATCATGGTTTTCTTGAATCCACCTGTTTTCCGTGATCAATTAGAGATATAAACATATTAGGTCTCAAACAGCCAACAGATCAAGTTTTCGCCACTAATTTCTTATGCACCTCTCTCTTCTGCGTTGTTTCTCAAGTTACAAATATATTATCAGCTTCTTGAAAAATCTGTCAAGAATACACAAGGTATCAAGAACAAATGGAAACACTTTATCTCAAATTCCACTTTTCCCAGGAGTACATAATGAGCAGCTCATTGAATATATTGGTTTAAATATTATAAAAATGATATACAACTGGTTTGTAAAAACTGATGCTATTTAACTAAATAGATTTAGCCTAGGCAGGGCCCAGTGGCTTAGGCCTATAATCCTAGCACTCTGGGAGGACAAGGCAGGAAGATCACTCGAGGTCAGGAGTTCGAAACCAAACTCAGCAAGAACGAGACCCTCATCTCTACTAAAAGTTAGAAAGAAATTAGCCAGACAATCATAAATATATAGAAAAAAAATTAGCCGGGCATGGTGTGCATCCCTGTAGGTCCCAGCTACTCGGGAGGCTAAGGTAGGAGGATCGCTTGAGCCCAGGAGTTTGAGGTTGCTGTGAGCTAGGCTGATGCCACGGCACTCTAGAGGCCAGGCAACACAGCAAGACACTGTCTCAAAAAAAAAAAAAAAAAACCGAAGAAAAGAAAAATAAAAGATTTAGCCTACATCTCATCAATATATACCCCATATTCCTGAGCACAATACTAAGGTACACAAAGAGTAAACATTTCCATTTCTTTTCTTCAGATCCATCCTGATCACACTATATATGGACACTATACACGCCCTGAATTCTAGACTCAACATTGGACAGTGATAGTGGGCACTTTCTAATAGAATTAACTATACATGAGAAACATGATAGTTTTTTAGGGTTGAATTTCATAGCATTTTCTAATGCTAATCAAACCATAAGAATAACATATATCTGGAAAAGAATCAGTAACTGGAGCAAATACAGACCAGTAAAGTAATGATAATCTTAAGAAGTTTAATAGTTCACTGACGTTCGATCTCTTGCATTCTGCTATTTATACTTATTACTTAAATGTGTATGTGAGGCAAAAGGCAAAAGGTGGGAAGAATTAATGGGAAGAAATTTTACTTACATAATACATGTAAAATATCCTTCTAACTAGAGTTGCTTTTTCTATCATAGTTTTCTTAGGTCCTTAACCACATAAGCCTTGTTATGTCATTCAATACGCTTCAGAAAGCTGGATTTTCTGTTAAGGAGAATTTGAAAATCGCATTCTGTTAGCATGAAAATTAAAAGTAGAATCTTTATATCTTGCATATATGTAGAAATGTACATGTTTTAAAGAAAAATACGTCTTGTAATACGTCATTTTCTCAATTATATATTGGGATGATGTTTGTTTTTTATCATTTTTAAATTTCAAATGTGAGTTTTTCTCATTTTCAACATTTCAAGACTTCAGACAAGTATCAGTAAAAGTTGAAGGCAAGCCATTGGAAACATCACTCTAGAAAGTTAAACACTTTTAATTGCAAGGTCCAGAACATTCCAGATACTTCTTTGTGCCTATTTACATTTTGTATACATATTTTTATATGTACAACTTGAATTAAACATGTGTGTAACAGATAAACTCAAACTTTATTTTTCATATCAATTATTTTATATTAGCCAACTACAATGGTTTAATCCCAAAGTTACAACATTTTATATTTTCTTCCCTAAATAAAAGGTGTAGACAGTTCCCCTAATAAGGATTTAAAGAATAGATTTCAATCATTCCAACGGCTTAAAAAGATTACCGGCTATATCTGAGCGGAATCTGGAAATTGGACCCTTTTCTTCTTTCCACCCTCACCCTTGCAAAAGGAATTTCAATGATCCTTTTTAGCCCCACTCTATACCTTCCTGCGGAAGTATAGCTGTGTGATAACTTTGGGAAGCCAGTCTCTGGACAAAGGGTATCACATGTGAAATATGTCAACAACTGAAGTTGACCAACTGACCTTTGAAAAGGTGAACCAATTAACAATACTTCTCACGTGGAAGGAGCCTGTGCACTTCTACAAATTATTACACAAACAGTGGTATCAATGGCTTCATTCTCAAGGGCCTTGCTTAAGGCTATGATTAAGAGTGAGGAGCATTATGGAAGAACTTACTGAATTGCAATTCACTTCAGTACTGGTGACTTTGAGACTCTCTGATAATACAGAGAGGTGACTTAGCCATTTGCCACATTTCTGGCTTTGTGGTTTTCCCTTTAAATTTTCATTTTGAAACAGCTTTTGATCTGAGATGAGTGTCATAGTTTGGAAAGTATTTAGGGTTAGCAATAGTTACAGTATCTTGTGAGTGGTCCTGGTGCCATGCTTGAATTCCTGGTACTTAATAAGGTGCTATTGCTTTGTGCTTCCATCCATGACCTGGCCAGACGCCATGTCTTAATGAAAATCAAAATGTGTGTGAATACAACATTCTGGAGCATGAGAATTCCAGGGCTAGGGCTTCCTCTTTGTCACCCAAAGTTCTAACTCCAGATGTGGTGCATTGTCTTCATACATCTGGTTTCCCTAGTCTAGCATATGGTCAAGTGAAAGTATTACTGCACAGTAGGCAGTTTAACTCATCTGATACAAGGTTTCTCTCTGTCAACTGCTTAGCTGAAGTAGCCTGAAGAGGTCAGAGGTCATCGTATACCTTCATATGTTACTTGAGACCATTGAGACATGCCTTCTCAAGTGTTTCCAATCCCTCCTTGGCTGATCTCAACCAGTAACATCCTCAAGCACAGCTAGACCCAGGCAAGGATACCAGAAGAGCCAATTTTCCCCAAAACCCCTTGGTCTTTGTAATATTTGCTAGACACTTACTAGCAGATGTTAAAAGTCCACCTGGGTAAGCAGAGTTCAGGTGGTGATCATATATTAAAGAGGTACACTAGGATAACATTCCTTTATACATAAATACATACATAACCAGTATGCATGCACAGATATAAGTATGTGCAAATATTGGTACATGTATTTATAAACTAGTGTATACATAAGCACAATGTTTGTTGACAATTACACCTTCTTAACAACTTTCCTATCGCTCACAAGTTTTCTTATGTTTCGCATGCCATCTGTTAAGGACCGCTCACTAGTTTTCTCATGTTTTGTGCGCCATCTGTTATGGACCTTAGATGTCAATACACTGTCTTCTCCATTAGAGAGAGTAGACGTTTACCGCCAATTTTGCAAATGAAAACATCAAGAATGAAGAAAGGTGACATAATATTTTCCATAAAAGGCAATATTCCTCTCCTAGCATGGAAAGACAAGCCAGTTGTCCAAATGATATCAACGATCCATGACACTTCAGCTCAACAACAGGAAAAAAAATATAGAGAAACGAGAGAGAATACTGTAAAATATTCTGCCTGCATCTAGGAATACAATGCCCACATGAAAGGTGTTGACTGAGTGAATCAATTCATTTCGTGTTTCTCCATTTTAAGGAAAAAAAAGAAATGGACACAAAAAGTAGTGCTATACCTTATAAACTGTGGACTTTAAAATTCATTTAGAGTGTACAACATCCTCAATCCAAAAGCAAAAATGAAGTATAAATAGTTTCTGCTATCGGTGGCAAAAGACTGGATAACGGATGACAATAATGACGGCTCTCCAGAACCAGAGACAAATCTGTCCAGCCTTTCCCCTGGGGGTGCAAGGAGACCACATCATAAAGATCCACCCAAAAGGTTGTCAAGTGATATGAAGCAGCATGAACCTATCTGTATTCCAGCAAGTGGAAAGAAAAAATTTCCTATGAGAGCCTGCAGAGTTTGTGCTGCCCATGGATAAAGGAGTGAATCTAGATACTTATATAAATTTTGTTTAGTTGTTCTTCATAGGGGAAAATGTTTTACCCAGTAACATACATTTAAAAAGTACTAGGAATTTAATTGATTAATTAGTTGTTTAATTGTTTAATTGCTTCTGTAAATAAATATGCTATAATGACTGAAAAACAATACCTAAAGTGCATTATGATCTGTAGTTATGATGATTAAATATAACATGCAGTTTGCCCAAAAACGTGCGGTCCCTGGCTTATGTCATAGAGATTTCTATGTGGAACGACATGTGATAAACACTAGTAAAATTCAGTACATTTTCATTTATTTAGTAAACAGTTGGAATTCCTCTTTTGTGAATTGGGTATTTAATTTCTTTACTCATCCTGCCTTTGGTTTCAATACAACAGAAACCAATTGTTAAACATTTTCTGTCACAGGAAGCTCCCATCTAAGCACAAGACTAAATCAACTTCCACTACTCTAACAGGTCAGATGCTGACAGAGTGAGGACAGAGAAGAGGGGCACCAGAAGAGTTCTCGGTTTGGCAGCAAATCCAAGACATTCTTCCCAAGTTGGGAACAAGAAGCACAGATTTCAGAATATTCGGCACCAAAACAATGGCCATCTTGTCAGGAGTACTAGGTATCTTCTTCACCTGGAACTCTTATACAGTGGTGACAGACGAGAACAATTGTTAAGTATGAGGAGCACTGTTAGGCTTCAAGGATCTCAGCATCCTCTAGGAGAACAACTGAGAGACAAGCACCCCTCACCCAACTCCTCCAATCTCACCAAGACAACTGAAAGGTCAGTAGACCCTATCCCTTAGACAGGAGAAATCAGATGCAAGCCACTGTCTTTGCTGCCTTTTGGACCAGAGAATCCCTTCTGTCCTTCCTCATAATTTTTTGCCTCCTGTGTGCCTGCCTCTGCAAACCCAGCACATGATACGGCTTTTCTTGGCTTAGTAGGGTGGCTGCCAATACTTCTCCATTTGTTCTCCTTCCTCAAGGCACGGGGGTCAAGACTTTTGTTGTGTACAAAATCCCCCAGAAAGCACATGTGCTGTTCTATCACCTCTAAATAACATGTATTGTACGCTGTGACGTGGCTACCACGAGAGGCCCAAATTCCATGGCCCCAGAACAAGATAAATTGGCCTGTACCATCCTCTGAGGGACATGGACAGGAGACAAAAGGCCACATGTCCTGCCCTGGGCTCTGGGAAGTTTCTTCTACCAAAGCCCCACCCAACAACTTCCTGTGCCTGGACTCCATTTTGCCCCTCAATATCAATCTGTGATACCTGGACATCGCCCTTGTCATACCAGCATTAATCCTATACCCAGAGCTCCTGGAATAACTCAAGAGAAGACGGAGAGGCCCAGTTCCAGGCCAGGGCCTACTCAGCCTCTCCCCTGAACTAACCCTTCTAAACCAAAAGTCCTCACGGGAATGAAGCGATATGGCATACAGTGTTTGAAAACTACTTCCGCACGATGGCAGTAGTGTTCCACATATGATAACTAGTTGTGCTCTCTAGGCCCTCTTCTCCCGCCCGTCCTGTCTGAAAAAACGCCACCAAGACATAGAAGTGCCAGGAAATATGGTAGCCTTCCATTTTGCCCAGCTTCAGGAAACTTGATCAGGGTGCTGCACTTTTGCCTTTGGTTTCCATCTGAAAGTAAACTTAGGCCCAAATCCACCACTCTTATCAGGCCTATTCTTTATTTAAGAATTAAATTTCCAAAAGACCTTGCCTTACCAGTTTTGTTCTTATTCATTCAGCATTACATTTCCAGCATTTACTCAAGTTATTAAGTTGTCTGCTTCTGTGGTGCAAGTCTCAAGAATCTAGGCCTAAACAGAAAAAGAAAATTTGAAAACTCAAGGCTTGGAGGAAATCACTAAATACCAACCCACATGTACTTGCCTGGCTCTTCCATCTATCAGGCTCCCAATGAATTCCATATTTTCTGCATAAAGACCTAGGCCATAAGAGTTGAATTGGTGGAAGCCATGGCTAGAGTCTTAAGAGAAGCACCCAGAGGGTTCTCATCACTATATATCCATACAGTGCCCTACATGGCAGGATATATAATTCGAATCAGAGGATACTCAAGAGTTATATCTTGTTATTTCATTTACCATTAAAAGACAAGCATTTTCTCATGTCATTATGTTGTGTCCAAGAATTCTACATCCCAGAACAGAATGTCAGAGTAACAAGCTCACACTAACATAAGCCACAAATGGAGGTTTCTTTAAGCTAGCTCGAGCTAGGGTCCAGGTCCCAGAGCACCAGCTCAGTGGTCTCTTTAGACAAGGACCCTTGGCAAGATTTTAGCACAGGTTTTATACTTTTAGTTGTTGTGCAACTTAGGTTACTGGTTATAAGTGGTATCTGGAGCCCACCCAGCACGCACACATCCCACTCAAGCTGTTCACGCATTTATCATGCTGGCCATGTATTGATTTATTGATTGGTTAGCTAGGTCCCAGGGACTTTGCACTACCTTATCATGTAGTGCCTTACTGGTTTCCTACCTGGGGCCTTGTTTATTCTCTTTATTTAATTATTTATTTTTACATCCTAGAAGCCTGTCATGGAGACAGTCAGGCTAAGTGGCAAGCAAGCAAGCGAATTACAAAAGCTAAGGTACAGAAGCCAAGGTAGCCCTTAGCTTGTATCCTACAATTAAATGACCTTTGATTGCTTCCTATGATTATTTAGTATTTAGTGGGGTGGTTGGAGACAGGGTTTGTATTATCATTTATCTCTTAAGAAATAAGCCTCAAAACCATTTTCTCATTAGTAACTAAGACAGAATGTTTCCCAAGGATTTGGAAATAACCATGCACTGATAAACAGAAAAGCACTGTCATAAAAACTATTAAGACCACTGAAAACCTTTTGGATTACATCCTTCAACTCCTTTCAATACACGCAAAATGTTGAATTTATGTCCATACACAACAATATATTTATATTAAATTTAATATATAAAATTATAAATATTAAAATTGGATGTTTGTATATTATAGTTTGCATAAGAAATTGTCACACCTGATTTTGGGGCAATTTTACAATATTATATAAAATTGTTAAGTGTTTATTTTTACTAAATCATGAAAAATGGTTTTTATTGCCCCATTTATTATATATTTTACATGTAGTATATTTAATATACTACACATTGTATACGAATGTACGTGCACATTTATTTCACTTTAATTACATTTTAACTCATACATGGTGTACTTGTATACAAAGTCTTCTGTACCAACTTATGTAAATTGCATATACATATCAACATATATTTTCCCTAGCTGGAAATTTCTTTATGCTATATTCTAGAAAAAAGTTTTTCTTCCAAAGAATTACAAAAGTTAACACTTGTTATTGGCAATGTTTTCACATTTTAAGAGTTTAAACACTTAAAATTTATTAAATTTTATTTAATAAATAATTAAAATTTATAAAATTTCACAATTGAAAAAATCCGGAAGCCAAAAATAAATATCTGAATCAACACTAGAAGAAATAGCTTTTAAAATAAATTGCCATACGTTCCTATATCTTCCCTATCCATATATATTTTAATATAAAGTCCCAGTTACCTTGTACCTCAACTGTTCAGACATGCTTTCATCAAATTATATTATTTGAAGTCTTTGAAAATATCATTAACTACTTCTTAGAATATGCAATATTTTTAATGTTGCCTCTCTATATATTTTTACATTTATTAGAATTAAAGCATACATCAATCCAAGAATGGATTAATAAAATGTGGTATATGTATACCATGGAGTACTATTCAGCTCTAAGAAACAACAGTGATATAGCACATCTTATATTTTTCTGGTTAGAGCTGGAACCCATACTACTAAGTGAAGTATCCCAAGAATGGAAAAACAAGCACCACATATACTCACCAGCAAACTGGTATTAACTGAGCAGCACCTAAGTAGACACATAGGTACTACAGTAATAGGGTATTGGGCAGGTGGGAGGCAGGAGGGGGGGGTGGGTATACACATACATAATGAGTGAGATGTGCACCATCTGGGGGATGGTCATGCTGGAAACTCAGACGTGTGGGGGAAGAGGGGAAAAGGGCATTTATTGAAACCTTAAAATTTGTACCCCCGTGATATGCCGAAATAAAAAAATAATAAATAAATAAATAAAAGAAATGCAGATAAAGGGGGAAAAAAAGGAATTAAAGCATACCTGTTTACAAAATAATCAGACACATTAGCCATGTAAAAAGAAGTGCACTGAGGTCACAAGCTACACTCAATCAAGCAGACAAGGAAATTTAAAAAAACATGGGTGTCTTAAATCCGCCTATTTTCCATGATCAATTAGAAATATAAATATATTAGGTCTAAAACAGCCAACGGATCAACTTTTCACCAATAATTTCTTTTGCACCCATTTGTTCTGGGTTGTTTCTCAAATTACAAATATATTATATAAGCTTCTTGAAAAATCTATCAAGAGTACACAACGTATCAAGAACAAATGGAAACACTTTATCTCAAATCCCACTTTCCCCAGGAGTCCAATATTAGCAGCTCAATGAATATATTGGCTTAAATATTATAAAAGTGATATACAACTGTTCATCATAATTGATGCTATTTAACTAAATAGATTTAACCTAGACAGGGCCCAATGGTTCAGGCCTGAAATCCTAGCATTTGGGGAGACCACTGCGGGCACATCGCTTGAGGTCAGGGGTTTGAAAGCAACCAGAGCAAAAGCAAGACCCCGTCTATACTAAAAAATAGAAAGAAATTAGCCAGACAAGTAAAAAAAAAAAATTAGCCAGGCATTGTGGTGCATGCCTCTAGTCCCACCTACTCAGGAGGGTGAAGCAAAAGGATTGCTTGAGCCCAGAAGTTTGAGGAGGCTCTGAGCTGGTTGGACGCCATGGCACTCTAGCCCAGGCAACAGAGCGAGACTGATTCGCAAAAAGAAAAAAGAAAAAAAAATAGATTTAGCCTATACCTCCTCAATATATTCCCAATATTCCAGAGCACAATGTTAACGCATACACAAAAGATACATTTCCATTTCTCTTCTTCAGATCCATCCTGGTCACACTATATATGGAGTTTGATGCCCTGAATTCTCGACTCAACATTGGACAGTGGGCACTTTCTAATAGAAGTAAGTATACATTGGAAACATCTTCTACAATTAATCAAATCATAAGAATAACATATATGTGTAAAAGATTCAGTAAATGGAGCAAATACAGAGCAGTAAAGTAATGACACTCTTGAAAGTTTAATAGATAGTTCCCTGATGTTCGATCTTTTGCATTCTGCTCTTTTATATTTACTATTTGATTGTGTATGTGTTGGGCATATGTGGACAGGTTGTAAGGATTTAGCTGTATGAATTTTTACTTTCAGGATACATGTAAAATATCCTTATAACTTGAGTTGCTTCATTCTATCATAGTTTCCTCAGGTCCTAAACAACATAAGCCTTCTCATGTCATTCAATATGTTTCAGAAAGCTGGATTTTCTGTTAAGGAGAATTTGGAAATAGCATTCTGATAGCATAAAAATTAAAAATAGAATATTTATATCTTGCATGTATGTAGAAATGCACATGTTTTAAAGAAAAATACAACATGTAATATGTTATTTTCTAAATTATATATTGGGATGATATTTGTTTCTTGGTCTTTTTAAAATTTCAAATGTAAGCTTTTCTCATTTTCAACATTTCAAGAATTTAGACAAGTAAAAGTAAAACTTGAAGGCAAGCAATTTTGGGAACACCACTCTAGAAAGTTATACACTGTTAACTGAAAGATCTGGAACTTTCCAGATAATTCCTTTGTGCCAATTCATTTTTATTAATCCATATTTTATATGTACAATTTGAATTAACCATGTATACAAGGGATAGAGAGAAACTTAATTTTTTCATTTCCATTTTTTGGTATTAGCCTACTAGAATGGTTTAATCCCAAAGTTACAACATTTTGCATTTTATTCCAAATCAAAGGTGTAGACAGTTCCCCTAATAAAGACTTGGAGAATGGATTTCAGTATTCCCAAAGGCTTAAAAAGGCTACCTGCTAGAGCTGAACATAATATGGAAACTGGACCCTTTTCTTCTTCCCACCCTCACCCTTCCAAAAGAAATTTCAATGATCCACTTTAGCCCCACCTCTCTACTTTCCTGCAGACGTATAGCTGTGTGATCACTTTGGAAGGCAGTCTCTGGACAAAGGGTATGACATGTCAAATTCTAACTGATGTTGACCAACTGACCTTTGAAAAGGTGAACCAATTAACGACACTTCTCACCTGGTAGGAGCTTGTCCAATTCTATAAACCATTACACAAACAGTGATCTCAATGGCTTCATTCTCAACTGACTTGCTCAAGGTTATGATGAAGAGTGAGGGGCATTATGGAAGAACTTTCTGAATTGCATTTCACTTCAATGCTGGTGAATTTGAGACTCTAATAATAAACAGAGGTGACTTAGCCATTTGCCACATTTCTGGCAGGGCGGTTTTCCTTTTAATTTTTAAATTAGAAACACCTTTTGGTCTGACATGAGTGTCATAGTTGGGGCAGTATTTATCGTTAGCAATAGTTACAGTATCTTGTGAATGCTCCTGGTGCCATGCTTGAATTCCTGGGACTTAGTAAGATGCTATTGCTTTGTGCTTCTATCCACTCCCTGGATAGATGCAATGTGTTAATGAAAATCAAAATGTGTGTGAATACAGCATTCTGGAGCATGAGAAGTACCAGGGCTAGGGCTACCTCCGTGTCACCCAAAGTTCTAACTCCAGATATGGTGCACTATGTTCATACCTCCGGTTTCCCTAGTTTAGCATATGGTCAAGTTAAACTATTACTGCACAACAAGCAGTTTAACTCGTCTGATACAAGGTTTCTCTCTGTCACACGTTTAGCTAAAGTAGCCTGAAGAGGTCAGAGGTCATCATATACCTTCATATGTTACTTGAAACTATTGAGACATGACTTCTCCAGTGTCTCCAAACCCTCCTGGGCTGATCTAAACCAGTAACATCCTCAAGGACAGCTAGATAGAGGCAAGGACACCAGAAGAGCCAATTTACCCAGAAAACCCATGGTTCTTGCAATATTTGCTAGACACTTACTGGCTAGTGTCATACCTACACCTGGGTAAGCAGAGTTCAGGTGGTGATCATATATTACAGAAGTGCATTAAAATAACTTTCATTTATATATAAATACATATATAACCAGTATGCATGCACAGATATAATAAGTATGTGCAATTATTGGTACATGTATTTATAAAGTAGTGTATACATAAACACAAGGTTTGTTGACAATTAATGCTTAAACACTAATAAATTTGAGTACTTTTTCATTTGTTTAATAAACAGTAGGAATTGTTCTTTTGTCAATTTTTTTTGCCTCATTTGTGCCTGCCTCTGTTACACCAGCACATGATATGGCTTCTCTTTGCTTAGGAGGGTGGCCACCAATGCTTCTCCATTTGTTCTCTTTCCTCAAGGAAAAGTGTTCCAGACTGTTTTGTGTACAAAATCCCGCAACAAACACATGTGCTGTTCTATCACATCAAAATAACCTATCTTGTGCACTGTGACGCTGCTACCACAAGAAACCTAAAGTCTATGGCTATAGAAAAAGATAAACTGGCCTGTACCATTCTTTGAGGGGCAGGGACAGGAAACAGGGGCCACAAGTCCTGCCCTGGGCTCTGGGAGGTTTCCTCAACCAAAGCCCCACCCAACAACTTCCTGGGACTTAACTCCATTCTACCACTCAATAACAATCTCTGATACATGGACATCGCCTTTGTCATACCAGCATTAATCCTGTACCCAGAGCTCCTGGAATAATTCAAGAGAAGCCAGAGAGGCCCAGTTCCAGGCAAGGGCCAACTTGGCCTTTCCACTGAACCACCCTTCGAAACCGAAATTCCTCAAGGGAATAAAGCGATATGGCATACAGTGTTTGAAAACTATTTCCGCACGATGGCAGTAGTGCTCTATCTATGATAACAAGTACTGATCCCTAGGCCCTCTTCTCCCGCCCTTCCTGTCTGAAAAAACGACTTGAAGACATAGAAGTGCCAGGAAATATAGTAGCCTTCCATTTTGCCCAGCTTCAGGAAACTTATTCAGGCTGCTGAACTTTGCCTTTGGTTTCCATCTAAAACTTAACTGAGCCTTAAATCCACCACTCTTATCAGGCCTATTCTTCATTTAAGAATTTAATTTCCAAAAGGCCTTGCCTTACCAGTTTTGTTCTTGTTCATTCAGCATTACACTTCCAGCATTTTCCCAGGTTATCAAGTTGTCTGCTTCTGCCAGGCAAGTCTAAAGAATCCAGGCCGAAACAGAAATATAAAATAGTGAAAACTCAAGGCTTGGAGGACATCACTAAATACCAATCCACATGTCCTTGCATGGCTCTTCCATCTCTGAGGCTCCCAATGAATTCCATATTTTCTGCATAAAGACCTAGGCCGTAAGTGTTGAATGCTGGCAGCCATGGTTAGAGTGTTAAGAGAAGCACCCAGAGGGATCTCATCACTATATATGCCATACAGTGCGCCCTACATGGCAGGATATAGAATTCCAATCAGAGGATACTCAAGAGTTATGTCTTGTTATTTCAGTCACCATTAAAAGACAAGCATTTTCTCCTGTCATTAAATGACCTTTGATTGGTTCCTATGACTATTGGGTATTTGGTGGGGTGGTTGGGAGAGGGTTTCTATTATCATTTATCTCTGCAGAGATATGCCTAAAAACCATTTTCTGCTTACTAACACAGAATGTTTGCCAAGGATTTGGAAATACTCATGGAATGATAAAGAGTAAAGCACTATCATAAAAACTATTAAGACTACTGATACCCACTCATTGCATTGTCCCCCTCAAAAAAAAAATAATAAATAAAAGACCACTGATAACCTTTTGGATTACGTCCTTCCACTCCTTTCAATACAGGCAAAATGTTGTATGTGTGTCCATACGCAACAATATATTTATATTAAATTTAATATATAAAATTATAAATATTAAAATTGCATGTGTGTACATTATAGTATGCATAAGAAATTGTCACGCCTGATTTTTGGGCAATTTTATAATATTATATTAAATTGTTAAGTGTTCATTTTCACTAAATCATAAAAAATGCTTTTTATTCACCCATTTATTATATATTTTCCATCTAGTATATTTAATATACTACACATTGTATACACATGTATGTGCACATTTATTTCACATTAATAACATTTTAACTCATACACAGTGTCATTGTATACAAAGTCTTCTGTACCACTTTATGTAAATTGCATGCTCCCATATCAACATATATTTTCCCTAGCTGGAAATTTCTTTATACTACATTCTAGAAATAAGTTTCTCTTCTAAAGAATTACAAAGGTAACACTTGCTGTTGGTAACCTTTTCACATTTTAAGACTTTAAACACTTAAAATTTAGTAAATTTTATTTAATAAATAATTGCAATTAAATTTAAATTTTAATTTAAATTTTAAATTAATTTAAATTAAAATAAAATTTCACAATTGAAAAAATCATAGAGCCAAAAATAAATATCTCAATCAAAACTAGAAGAAATAGTTTTTAAAGTTCTTAGCCATACGTTCTGATATCTTCCCTATCCATATATATTTTAATATTAAGTCCCAGTTACCTTGTACACTGAGGTCACAAGATACATACACTCAATCAAGCAGAAAAGGATTTTTAAAGAACATGGGTGACTTCAATCGACCTCTTCCTGTGATCAATTAGAGATATAAACATATTAGGTCTCAAACAGCCAACAGATCAAGTTTTGAACAATAATTTCTTCTGTACTATTTTTTCTGGGTTATTTCTCAAATTACAAATATATTATCAGCTTCTTGAAAAATCTATCAAGAATACATAATGTATCAAGAACAAATGGAAACACTTTATCTCAAATCCCACTTTTTCAGGACTGCAATATTAGCAGCTTAATGAATATATTGGTTAAAATATTATATAAGTGATATACAACTGTTTATACTAACTGATGATATTTAACTAAATAGATTTAGCCTAGGCAGGGTGCAGGTGGCTCAGACCTGTAATTCTAGCACTCTGGGAGGCCAAGGCCAGAGTTCGAAACCAACCTGAGCAAGAGGGAGACCCCATGTACACTAAAAAATAGAAACAAATTAGCTGGACAAAGTAAAAATATGTAGAAAGAAAAGTTAGCCAGGCATGGTGGTACATACCTGAAGTCCCAGCTACCCATGAGGCTGAGACAAAAGGTCTGTTTGAGCCCAGGAGTTTGAGGTTCCTGTGAGCTAGGCTGAAGCCATGGCACTCTAGCTAGGACAAGAGAGGGAGACTCTGTCTTAAAAGAAAAAAGAAAAGAAATAGATTTAGCCTACATCTCATCAATATATTCCTGATATTGCAAAGGACAATGGTAACGTGCATACAGAATAAACATTTCCATTTCTCTTCTTCAGATCCATCGTGGTCACACTATACATGGACTTTGATGCCCTGAATTCTTGATTCAATATTGCACAGTGGGCACTTCCTAATAGGATTAACTATACATGGGGAATATCATAGTTTTCTATGATTAAATTTCATAGCATTCTTCTAATCTTAAGCAAATCATAAGAATAATATATATATGGAAAAGAATCACTAAATGGAGCAAATATATAGAAGTAAAGTAATGACAATCTTGATAAGTTTAATAGATAGTTCACTGATGTTCGATCTGTTGTATTCTGCTCTTTTATATTTACTATTTAATTGTGTATGTGTGGGCATATGTGGACAGGTTGTTAGGATTTATCGGTATGAATTTTTACTTACAGGATAATTGTAAAATATCCTTGTAACATGAGTTGCTTCTTTCTATCATAGTTTTCTAAGGTCCTAAACCATATAAGCTTTTTCATGTCATTTATTAAGATTCAGAGAGCTGGATATTCTGTTAAGGAGAATTTGGAAATAGCATTCTGGTAGCATATAAATTTAAAGTAGAATCTTTATATCTTGCATGTATGTAGAAATGCACATGTTTTAAAGAAAAATACATCTTGAAATATGTTATTTTCTCAATTATATATTGGGATGATGTTTGTTTCTTGATCTATTTTAAATTACAAATGTAAGCTTTTCTCATTCTCAACATTTCAAGACGTCGGACAAGTATTAGTAAAACTTGAAGGCAAGCGATTGGAAACACCACTCCAGAAAATTACACAGTATTAATTATAAAGTCGGGAACATTTTCTTCCCTAAATCAAAGGTGTAGACAATTCTCCTAATAAAGATTTGGAGAATGGATTTCGATCTTCCCAAAGGCTTAAAAAGACTACCTGCTATAGGTGAACGGAATCTATAAAACGGAACCTTTTCTTCTTTCCACCCTCACTCTTGCAAAAGAAATTTCAATGATCCACTATAGCCCGACCTCTCTACTTTCCTTTGGAAGTGTAGCTGTGTGATCACTTTGGGAAGGCAGTCTCTGGACAAAGGGTATTACATGTGAAATGTTAACTGATGTTGACCAACAGACCTTTGAAATAGTGAACCAATTAACAATATTTCTCAACTGGTAGGAGCTTGTCCAATTCTATAAATCATTACAACAACAGTGATCTCAATGGCTTCATTCTCAAGGGACTTGCTCAAGGCTATGATGAAGAGTGAGGGGCAAGAAGGAAGAACTTACTGAATTGCAATTGACTTCAGTACTGGTGAATTTGAGACTCTCTGATAATATAGAGAGGCAACTCAGCCATTTGCCACAAATCTGGCTGGGTGGTTTCCACTTTAAATTTTCTTTTTTAAACAGCTTTTGATCTGAAATGAGTGTCATAGTTTGGACAGTATATAGGGTTAGCAATAGTTACAGTATCTTGTGAATGGTCCTGGTGCCATGCTTGAATTCCTGGGACTTAGTAAGGTGCTATTGCTTTGTGCTTCCATCCATTCCCTGGCCAGATGCAATCTCTTAATGAAAATCAAAATGTGCATGAATACAACATTCTGGAGCATGAGAAATTCCAGAACTTGGACTACATCTTTCCAACCCAAAGGTCTAACTCCAGATGTGGTGCACTGTCTTCATACATCTGGTTTACCTAGTCTAGCATATGGTCAAGTTAAACTATTACTGCACAACAGGCAGTTTAACTCATCTGATACAAGGTTTCTCTCTGTCACCTGCTTAGCTGAAGTAGCCTAAAGAGGTGAGAGGTCATCGTATACCTTCATAGGTGAATTGAGACCATTGAGACATCATTTGTCCAGTGTCTCCAAACCCTCCTTGGCTGATCTCAACCACTAACATCCTCAATGACAGGTACACCCAGGCAAGGACACCAGAAGGGCCAGTATTCTGAGAAACACAATGATCCTTGTTATATTTGCTAGACACTTACTGGCAAGACTTATAAGTCCACCTGAGTAAGCCGAGTTCAGGTGGTGATCATATATAACAGAGGTGCACTAGACAACATTCCTTTATATATAAATACATATGACCAGTCTGCAAGCACAGATATAAGTATGGGCAAATATTGGTACATGTATTTATAAACTAGTGTATCCATAAGCACAAGGTTTCTTGACAATTAATGCTTAAACACTAGAAAATTTGAGTACTTTTTCATTTGTTTAATAAACAGTAAGAATTCATCTTTTGTTAATTATGTATTTAATTCCTTTGCTCATCCTGCCTTTGGTTTCAATACAACAGAATCCAAATGTTAAACATTTATTGTCACAGGAAGCTCACTTCTAAGCACAAGACTAAATCATCTTGGACTACTCTAAGAGGACAAATGCTGACAGAGTGAAGACATTAGAAGAGGAGCACTAGAACGGTTCTCAGTTTCACAGCAAATTTCAAATAATCCTAGATATTCTTTCTTCCCCAAGTTGGGAACACGAAGCACAGATTTGAGAATATTCGGCACCAAAACAATTGCCATCTTCTCCGCCTTACCAGATATCTTTACATGGAACTCATATAGTGGTGACAAGGAGAACATTTATAAAGTATGAGGAGCACTGCTAGCCTTCAAAAACCTCAGCATTCTCTGGGAGAACAACTGAGAGATAAGAACCCCTCACCGTCCTCCTCCAATCTCCAAGAGAACTGAGACTGGAATGGAGCCTTTGCCTTAAACAAGAGAAAGCAGATGCAAGTCACGGTCCTTCTGCCTTTTGGCCCAGAGAATCTCATATTTTTTTGCCCTTTGTGCCTGCGCTGCTCCCCCACCACACGGTATGTCTTTTCTTTGCTTAGTAGGGCGGCCGCCAATGCTTCTCCATTTGTTCTCCTTCCTCAAGGAAAAGTGTTCCAGACTTTTGTTGTGTATGAAATCCCCCAGCAAGCACATGTGCTGTTCTATCATCTCGAAAAAACCTGTCTTATGCACTGCGACGATGCTACCACAAGAAACCTGGACTTCGATGACTGCAGAACAGGTGAACTGACCTGTACCATCCTTTGAGAAACAGGGACAGGAGACAAGCCCACATATCCTGCAATGCCCTCTGGGAGGTTTCCTCTACCAAAGCCCCACGCAACAACTTCCTGTGCCTGGACTCCATTCTACCCCTCAGTAAATATCTCGGATACCTGGACATCACCTTTGTTATACCAGCATTAATTTTGTACCCAGAGCTCCTGGAATAACTCAAGAGAAGCCAGAAAGGCCCAGTTACAGGCCAGGGCCTACTCAACCTCTCAGCTGAACAAACCATTCTAAACCAAAAGTCCTCGCAGGAATGAAGCAATAGGGCATACAGTGTTTGAAAACTATTTCCGCATGATGGCAGTAGTGCTCCATCTATGATAACAAATTCTGCTCCTTGGCCCTCCTCTCCCGCCCATCCTGTCTGAAAAAACGCCATCAAGACATAGAAGAACCAGGAAATATGGTAGCCTTCCATTTTGCCCAGCTTCAGACAACTTCATCAGGCTGCTGCACTTTTGCCCTTGGTTTCCATCTAAAACTTAACTGGGCGCTAAATCCACCACTCTTATCAGACCTATTCTTTATTTAAGAATTATATTTCCAAAAGGCCTTGCCTTACCAGTTTTGTTCTTGTTCTTCCGGAATTTTCCCAGGTTATCAAGTTGTCTGCTTCTGTGGTGCATGTCTCAAGAAAACAGGCCTGAACACAAAAAGAAAATGCTGAAAACTCAAGGCTTGGAGGACATTACTAAATACGGATCCACATGTCCTTGCCTGGCTCATTCATCTCTCAGGCTCCCAATGAATTCCATATTTTTTGCATAAAAACCAAGGCCATAAGAGTTGAATGTTGGCAGCCATGGCTACACTCTTAGGAGAAGGACTCAGAGGGTTCTCACCACTATACATGCCAAACAGTGCCCTTCATTGCAGGATATATAATTCCAATGAGAGGATACTCAAGAGTTATGTCTTGTTATTTCATTTACCATTAAAAGACAAGCATTTTCTCCTGTCATTAAATGACCTTGCATTGCTTCCTTTGACTATTGGGTATTTGGTGGGGTGGTTGGGGAGAGGGTTTGTATTATCATTTATCTCTTAAGAAATAAGCCTCAAAACCATTTTCTCATTAGTAACTAAGACAGAATGTTTCCCAGGATTTGGAAATAACCATGCACTGAGAAAGAGTAAAGCACTGTCATAAAAACTATTAAGACCACTGATATCCTTTTGGATTATGTCCTTCCACTCCTTTCAACACACACAAAATGTTATATTTATGTCCATACACAACAATAAATTTATATTAAATTTAATATACAAAATTATAAATATTAAAATTGGATGTTTGTACATTATAGTTTGCATAAGAAATTTTCACACCTGACTTTTGTAAAATTTGACATTATATAAAATTGTTAAGTGCTCATTTTTAGTAAATCATAAAAAATACTTTTTACTGCCCCATTTATTATATATTTTATACATAGTATATATAATATACCATACAATGTATACACATGTATGTGCACATTTATTTCACTGTAATTACATTTTGACTCATACTGTGTACTTTTATACAAAGTCTTCTGTACCACCTTATGTAAATTGCATACTCCCATATCAACATATATTTTCCCTAGCTGGAAATTTCTTTATACTACATTGAAGAAAGAAGTTTCTCTTCCAAAGTATTGCAAAAGTAACACTTGCTGTTGGCAACCTTTTCATATTTCAAGGGTTTAAACACTTAAAATTTATTAAATTTTATTTAATAGATAATTAAAATTTATTAAATTTCACTTGAAAAAATCATGAAGCCAAAAATAAATACCTGAATCAAAATTAGAAGAAATAGCTTTTGAAATTCGTTGCCATACGTTCTTACATCTTCCCTAAGCATATATATTTTAATATAAAGTCCCAGTTACCTATTACCTCCAATGTTCAGACATGCTTTCCTCACATTATATTTTGAGGTCTGTAAAAACATCATTAACTACTTCTTAGAATATGCAATTTTTTAATTTTGCCTCTCTATATATTTTTACAGGTCTTAGAATTAAAGCATACCTGTTTACAAAATAATCAGACACAATAGCCATGTAAAAAAAAGTACACTGAGGTCACAAGGTACACTCAATCAGGCAGACAAGGAATTTAAAAAAAAAAATGGATGTCTTGAATCTACCTGTTTTCTGTGATCAATTAGAGATACAAACATAATAGATCTAAAACAGCCAACAGATCAATATCTCAACAATAATTTCATCTGCACCTATTTGTTTTGTGTTGTTTCTCAAATTACAAAGACATTACCCGCTTATTCAAAAATATATCAAGAATACACAATGTATCAAGAACAAATGGAAACACTTTATCTCAAATCCCACTTTCCCCAGGAGTCCAATATGAGCAAATCAATGAATATATTGGTTTAAATATTATAAAAGTGATATACCACTGTTCATCATACCTGATGCTACTTAACTAAATAGATTTAACCTAGGGAGGGCTCAATGGCTCAGGCCTGTAATCCTAGCAAATGGGAAGCCAAGGTGGGAAGATGGCTCGAGATCAGGAGTTCCAACCAACCAGAGCAAAAGCAAGACCCCATCTATACTAAAAAATAGAAAGAAATTAGGTTGACAATTAAAAATACATACAAAAAAAAATTAGCCGGGCATTGAGGTGCATGCCTGTAGGCACACCTACAAGGGAGGCTGTGGCAAAAGGATTGCTTGAGGCCAGAAGTTTGAGGAGGCTCTGAGCTAGTTTGACGCCATGGCACTCTAGCCAGGATAGGAGAGCGAGACTATGTTTCAAATAAAAAAAGAAAAGAACAAAAATAGATTTACCCTATACCTCATTAATATATTCCCCGTATTCCAGAGCATAAAGCTAATGCACATACAAAATAAACATTTACATTTCTCTTCTTTAGATCCATCCTAGTTACACTATACATGGAGTTTGATGCCCTGAATTCTTGACTCAACATTGGACAGTGGGCATTAACTAATAGCTTTAACTATACATGGGAAACATGATAGTTTCTTAGAGTTAAATTTCATAGCATTCTTCTACTATTAATAAAATCATAAGAATAACATATATGTAAAAGAATCAGCAAATGGGGCAAATACAAAGCAATGAAATAATGATAATCTTGAAAGTTTAATAGTTCACTGATGTACAATCTCTTGCATTCTGCTCTTTTATATTTACTATTTAATTGTGTATGTGTGGGAATATATGGACAGGTTGTCAGAATTTAGTGGTATGAATTTTTACTTACAGGATAAAAGTAAAATATCGTTATTACATGAGTTGCTTCTTTCTATCATGGTTTTCTCAGGTCCTAAACCACATAAGCCTTGTCATGTCATTCAATATGTTTCAGAAAGCTAGATTTTCTGTTAAGGAGAATTTGGAAATAGCATTCTGGTAGCAAAAAACTTAAAAGTAGAATCTTTATATCTTGCACGTATGTAGAAATGCACATGTTTTAAAGAAAAATACATCTTGTAATATGTTATTTTCTCAATTATATATTCGGAGATGTTTATTTTTTGTTTTTTTTTAAATTTCAAATGTGAGGTGTTCTAATTTTTAACATTTCAAGACTTCAGACAAGTGTAAGTAAAACTTGAAGGCAAGCCATTGGAAACACCACTCTAGAAAGTTACACACTGTTAACTGTAGGTTGGAACTTTCCAGATAATTCCATTGTGCCAATTCACAGTTTTGAATCCATATTTTTTATGCGTACAACTTGAATTAAACACGTACACAAGAGATAGACACAGTGAGACTTAATTTTTCATTTCAATTTTTTGGTGTTAGCCTACTAGAATGGTTTAATCCCAAAGTTACAACATTTTGCATTTCATTCCAAAGCAAAGGTGTACACGGGTCCCCAAATAGGGACTTGGAGAATGGATTTCAATCTTCCCAAAGCCTCAAAAAGAATAACTGCTATAGGTGAAGAGAATCTGGAAAATCAACCCTTTTCTTCTTCCCACCCTCACCCTTGAAAAAGAAATTTCAATTATACTCTTTAGCCCCACCCCTCTACTATCCTGTGGAAGTGTAGCTGTGTGATCACTTTGGAAAGGCAATCTCTGGACAAAGGGTATGACATGTCAAATGTTAACTGATGTTGACCAACGGACCTTTGAAACAGTGAACCAATTAACAATACTTCTCACCTATTAAGAGCCTTTCCCATTCTATAAATCATTACAAAAAACAGTGATATCAATGGCTTCATTCTCAAGGGAATTGCTCAAGGTTATGATGAAGAGTAAGGGGCATTATGGAAGAACTTACTGAATTGCAATTCACTTCAGTACTGGTGAATATGAGAGTCTCTGATAATACAGAGAGGCGACTTACTCATTTGGCACATTTCTGGCTGGGTCGTTTTACCTTTAACTTTTCATTTTGAAACACCTTTTGATATGACATGAGTGTCATAGTTTTGGAAGTATTTAGCGTTAGCAATAGTGACAGCATCCTGTGAGTGGTCCTGGTGCCATGCTTGAATTCATGGGACTTAGTAAGGTGCTATTGCTTTTTGCTTCCATCTACTCCCTTCCCAGATTGAATCTCTTAATGAAAATCAAAATGTGTGTGATACAACATTTTCGAGCATCACAGGTTCTAGGACTAGGGCTACCTCTTTGTCACCCAAAGTTCTAACTCCACATGTGGTGCACTATCTTCATACATCTGGATTCCCTAGTCTAGGATATGGTCAAGTTAAATCATTACTGCACAACAAGCAGTTTAACTCATCTGATACAAGGTTTCTCTCTGTCACCTGCTTAGCTGAAGTAGCCTGAAGAGGTGAGAGGTCATCGTATACCTTCATAGGTTACCTGAGACCATTAAGACATGATTTCTCTAGTGTCTCCAAACTGTCCTGGGCTGATCTCAACCAGTAACATCCTCAATGACAGGTAGACCCAGTGAAGGACACCAGAAGGGCCAGTTTCCCCAGAAACACAATGATCCTTGTTATATTTGCTAGACACTTATTGGCAAGATTTATAAGTCCACCTGGGTAAGCCGAGTTCAGGTGGTGATCATATATAACAGAAGTGCACTAGACAACATTCCTTTATATATAAATACATATGACCAGTCTGCATGCACAGAGATAAGTATGTGCAAATATTGGTACATGTATTTATAAATTAGTGTATCCATAAGCACAAGGTTTCTTGACAATTAATGCTTAAACACTAGAAAATTTGAATTATTTTACGTGTATGTAATAAACAGTTGGAATTCTTCTTTGGTAAATTGGGTATTAAATTCCTTTACTCATCCTGCCTTTGGTTTCAATACAACAGAAACCAATTGTTAAACAATTTCTGTCACAGGAAGCTCACATCTAAGCACAAGACTAAATCATCTTCCACTACTACTAAGAGGTCAAATGCTGACAGTGTGAGCACAGTAGAAGAGGGCCACCAGAATGTTTCTCAGTTTGGCAGCGAATCTCAAGTAATCCTAGATATTCTTCCCAAAGTTAAGAACAAGAAGCACAGATTTGAGAATATTTGACACCAAAACAATGGCCATCATGTCAGGCGTACTAAGTATCTTCACCTAGAACTCTTATACATCAGTTACAGAGGAGAACAATTGTTAAGTATGAGGAGCACTGCTAGTCTTCAAGGACCTCAGCATCCTCTGAGAGAACAACTGAGAGATAAGCACCCCTCACCCTCCTCCTCCAACCTCACCAAGAGAACTGAGACTGGAATAGAGTCTTTGCCTTAGGTAGGAGAAAGCAGATGCAAGTCACTCTCTTTACCACCTTTGGACCCAGAAAGTCACTTCTGGCCTTCCTCATATTGTTTGCCTCCTTTGTGCCTGCCTCTGCTCCACCAGTAAATGGTAGGGCTTTTCTTTGCTTACTAGGGTGGCCACCAATGCTTCTCCATTTGTTCTTCTTCCTCAAGAAAGTGTTCCAGACTTTTGTTGTGTACAAAATCCCCCAGAAAGCACATGTGCTGTTCTATCACCTCCAAATAACCGGTCTTGTGCACTGTGATGCTGCTACCACAAGAAGACGGAATTCTATTGCTCCAGAACAAGGTGAACTGGCTGTACCATCCTCTGAGGTACTTGGACAGGTGAGGAGGGGCCACAGGTCCTGCCCTGGGCTCTGGGAGGTGTCCTCAACCAAATCCCCACCCAACATCAACTTCCTGTACTTGTACTCCATTGTTCCCCTCAATAACAATGGCTGATACCTGGACATCACCTTTGTTATACCAGCATTAATCCTGTACCCAGAGCTCCCGTAATTACTCAAGAGAAGCTAGAGAGGCCCACTTCCAGGCCAGGGTCTACTCAGCCTCTCCACTGAACAAACCAATCTAAACTGAAAGTCCTGACAGGAATGAAGCAATATGGCATACATTGTTTGAAAACAATTTCCGCACGATGGCAGTAGTGCTCCATATATAATAGCAAGTGCCTTGCTCTAGGCCCTCCTCTCCCGCCTATTCTGCATGAAAAAACGCCATCAAGTCATGCAAGTGCCAGGAAATATGGTTGCCTTTCATTTTGCCCAGCTTCAGGAAATCTGATCAGGCTACTGCACTTTTGCCCTTGGTTTCCATCTAAAACTTAACTGACCCCTAATTCCACCAATCTTATCAGGCCTATTCTTTATTTAAAAATTAAATTTCCGGCCCCGCGCGGTGGCTCAGGCCTGTAATCCTAGCACTCTGGGAGGCCGAGGCGGGCGGATTGCTCCAGGTCAGGAGTTCGAAACCAGCCTGAGCAAGAGTGAGACCCTGTCTCTACTATAAATAGAAACAAATTAATTGGCCAGCTAATGTATATAGAAAAAATCAGCCGGGCATGGCCGGGCATGGTGGTGCATGCCTGTAGTCTCAGCTACTCGGAGGCTGAGGCAGGAGGATTGCTTGAGCCCAGGAGTTTGAGGTTGCTGTGAGCTAGGCTGATGCCATGGTACTCACTCTAGCCTGGGCAAGAAAGGGAGACTGTCTCAAAAAAAAAAAAAAAAGTTAAATTTCCAAAAGGCCTTGCCTTACCAGTTTTGTTCTTGTTCATTTAGCATTACATTTCCAGCATTGATCCAGGTTATCAAGTTGTCTGCTTTTGGGGTGGAAGTCTCAAGAATCTAGGCCTAAACAAAAAAAGAAAATGCTGAAAACTCAAGGCTTGGAGGACATCACTAAAAACCAATCCACATATCCTTGCCTGGCTCATTCACCTCCCAGGTTCCCAATGAATTCCCTATTTTCTGCATAAAGACCTAGGCCATAAGTGTTGAATTGTTGGCAGCCATGGCTAGAGTCTTAAGAGAACACTCAGAGGGTTCTCATCACTATACATGTCATACAGTGCGCTACATGGCAGGATGTGTAATTCCAAACAGAGGATACTCAAGAGTTATTTCATTTACCTTAAAAAGACAAGCATTTTCTCATGTCATAAAAGGACCTTCAATTGCTTCTTATGACTACTGGGTATTTGGTGGGGTGGTTGGAGAGAGGGTTTGTATTATCATTTATCTCTTAAGAAATAAGCCTCAAAACCATTTTCTCATTTGTAACTAGGACAGAATGTTTGCCAAGTCTTTGGAAATAACCACCCACTGCCAAAGAGTAAAGCACTGTCATAAAAACTATTAACACCACTGATAACATTTTGGATTACATCCTTCCATTCCTTTCAATCCACACAAAATGTCATGTTTATGTCCATATACAACAATGGATTTATATTACATTTAATATATAAAATTATAAATATTAAAATTGGATGTTTGTACATTATAGTTTGCATAAGAAATTGACATTCCTGATTTTTGGGCAATTTGACTATATTATACAAAATTTTTAAGTGTTCATTTTCACTAAATCATGAAAAATGCTTTTTATTGCCCCATTTATTATATATTTTGATCTACTATATTTAATATACAATACATTATATACACGTGTACGTGCACATTTATTTCACTTTAATTACATTTTGACCCATACTGGGTGTACTTTTAAACAAAGTCTGCTGTACAACCTTTTGTAAATTGCATGCTCCCATATCAACATATATTTTCCATAGTTGGAAATTTCTCTCTACTGTATTCTAGAAAGGAGTTTCTCTTCCAAGTAATCACAAAAGTAACACTTAATGTTGCCAACCTTTTCACATTTTAAGAATTTTAATTCCTAAAATTTATTAAATATATAATTAAAATGTATTGAATTTCACAATTTAAAAAGCAATAAAGACAAAAATGAAAATCTCAATCAAAACTAGAAGAAATAACTTGTAAAATTCTTTGCAATATATAAATTCTTCTTTGTTTTTTTTTTGAGACAGAGTCTAGCTTTCTTGCCCAGGCTACAGTGAGTGCCATGGCGTCTCCCTAGCTCACAGCAACCTCAAACTCCTGAGCTCAAGCGATCCTACTGCCTCAGCCTCCTGAGTAGCTGGTACTACAAGAATGCACGATCACGCGGGCTAATTTTTTCTACATATATTATTTGGCCAATTAACGTCTAGTATTTATTGTAGAAACGGGATCTCGCTCTTGCTCAGGCTGGTTTCCAACTCCTCACCTGGAGATATCCACCCGCCTCGGCCTCCCAGAGTACTAGGATTATAGGCGTGAGCCACCACGCCCGGCCTATATATTCGTATTATCTTCCCTATCTGTACATATTTTTAACATAAAGTCCCAGTTACCTTTTACCTCAAGTGTTCAGACTTGCTTTCCTCACATTATACTTTGAGGTCTCTGAAAAAATCATTAACTAGTCCTTAGAATATGGAATATTTTTCATGTTGCCTCTCTGTATATTTTTACGTTTCTCAGAATTAAAGTATACCTGTTTACAAAATAACCAGACACATTAGCCATGTATAAAGAAGTACACTGAGTTCACAAGTGATACTCAGTCAAGCACACAAGGGTTTTAAAAAATCATGGGCGACTTCAATCCACCCCTTTTCTGTGATCAATTAGAGATATAAATATAGTAGGTCTCAAACAGCCAACAGATCTAGTTTTCACAAATAATTTCTTCCAAACCTATTTGTTCTTGGTTGTTTCTCAAATTACAAATATATTATCAGCTTCTTGAATAATCTATCAAGAATACACAATGTATCAAAAACAAATGGAAACATTTTATCTCAAATTCCACTTTCCCCACCAGTCCGATATTAATAGCTTAATGAATACATTGGTTAAAATATAATAAAAGTGATATAAAACTATTCATACTAACTGATGCTATTTAGCTAAATAGATTTAGCCTAGGAAGGGTGAGGTGGCTCAGACCTGTAATTCTAGCACTCTGGGAGGCCAAGGCAGGAGACAAAACCAACCTGAGCAGTAGCAAGAGCGAGAAGCCCTCTCTACTAAAAAACTAGAAACAACTTAGCAAGACAAACTAACAATATTTAGAAAAAAAAGTTAGCTGGGCATGCTAGTACATGCCTATATTCCCAGCTACCCAGGAGGCTGAGGCAAAAGGACTCCTTGAGCCCAGCAATTTGAAGTTGCTGTGAGCTAAGCTGAAGCCATGGCACTCTAGCCTGCCCAACAAAGTGAGAGACTCTGTCTAAGAAGAAAAAAGAAAAGAAAAAAATAGATTAACCTACGTCTCATCAACATATTCTCCATATTCCAAAGCACAATGCTAAAGCACACACAGAGTAAACATTTCCATTTCTCTTCTTCAGATCCATGGTGGTCACACTATACATGGACTTTGATGCCCTGAATTCTTGACTCAAGATTGGACAATGGGCACTTCCTAATAGCATTAACTATACATGGGGAATGTCATAGTTTTGTATGATTAAATTTCATAGCATTCTTCTAATCTTAAGCAAACCATAAAAATAACATATATCTGGAAAAGAATCACTAAATGGAGCAAATATACAGAAGTAAAATAATGATAATCTTAAGAAGTTTAATAGATAGTTAACTGATGTTCGATCCTTTGCATTCTGCTCTTTTATATTTACTATTTACTTGTCTATGTGTGGGCATATGTGGACAGGTTGTCAGGATTTAGTGGTATGAATTTTCACTTACATGAAACATGTAAAATATCCTTTTAACTTGAGTTGCTTCTTTCTATCAGTTTTCTCAGGTCCTAAGCAACATAAGCCTTGTCATGTCATTCAATACATTTAAGAAAGCTGGATTTTCTGTTAAGGAGAATTGGAAATACCATTCTAGTAGCATAAAAATTTAAAGTACAACCTTTATATCTTGCATGTATATAGAAATGCACATGTTTTAAAGAAAAATACACCTTGAAATATGTTATTTTCTCAATTATATATTGGGAGGATGTTTGTTTCTTGATCTTTTTAAAATTTCAAATGTAAGCTTTTCTCATTTTCAACATTGGAAGACTTCAGACAAGTATTAGTAAAACTTGAAGGCAAGCCATTGGAAACATCACTCTAGAAAGTTAAACACTATTAATTGCAAAGTCGGGAAATTTCCAGATCATTCCTTTGTGCCTATTCATTTTTTGAATTCATATTTTTATGTTTCAACATGAATTAACCATGTATGTAAGAAATACAGTCAGAAATTATTTTTCATTTATATTTTTTGGTATTGGCCAACTAGAATGGTTTAATCCCAAAGTTACAACATTTTGCATTTTACTCCCTAAATCAAGGGTGTAGACAGTTCCCTTAATAAAGACTTACAGAATCGATTTCAACCTTGTCAAAGACTTAAAAAAACTACCTACCATACCTGAATGGAATCTGTAAAATGGCCCCTTTTCTTCCTCCCACCCTTACCCCTGAAAAATAAATTTCAATGATCCCCTTTAGCCCCACCTCTCTACTTTCCTGTGGACATGTAGCTGTTTGATCACTTTGGGAAGGCAGTCTCTGGACAAAGGGTATGACATGTCAAATTCTAACTGATGTAGACCAATGGACCTTTGAAACAGTGAACCAATTAACAATACTTCTCGACTGGTAGAAACTTGTCCAATTCTACAAATCATTACACAAACAGTTATCTCAATGACTTCATTCTCAAGTGACTTCCTCAAGGTGATGATAAAGAGTGAGAGGCATTATGGAAGAACTTACTGAATTGCAATTCACTTCAGTACTGGTGAATTTGAGACACTCTGATGATAAACAGAGGTGACTTAGCCATTTGCCACATTTCTGGCTGGGTAGTTTTCCTTTTAACTTTTCATTTTCAAACAGCTTTTGATCTGAGATGAGTGTCATAGTTTGAACAGTATTTAGCGTTAGCAATAGATACAATATCTTGTGAATGGTCCTGGTGCCATGCTTGAATTCCTGGAACTTAATAAGGTGCTATTACTTTGTGCTTCCATCCATATTACGTTGTGCTTCCATCCACTACCTGGAGAGATGCAATCTCTTAATGAAAATCAAAATGTGTGTGAATACAACATCCTGGAGCATGAGAAATTCCAGGCCTAGGGCTGCCTCTTTTTCACCCAAAGATCTAACTCAACATATGGTACACTGTCTTCATACCTCCGGTTTCCCTAATCTAGCATATGGTCAAGTTAAACTATTACTGCACAACAGGCAATTTAACTCGTCTGATACAAGGTTTATCTTTGTCACCTGCATAGCTGAAGTAGCCAGAAGAGGTCAGAGGTCATCATAAACCTTCATAGATTACTGAGACCATTGAGACATGATTTCTCCAGTGTCTCCAAACACTCCTGGGCTCATCTCAACCAGTAACATCCTCAAGACCAGCTAGACCAAGGCAAGGACACCAGAGGAGCCAATTTCCCCACAAACGCCATGGTCCTTGTAATATTTGCTAGACATTTACTGGCAAGTGTTATATATAACTGCACCTGCATAAGCAGAGTTCAGGTGGTGATCATATATTACAGAAGTGCACTAGAATAACATTCCTTTATATATAAACATATATAACCAGTCTGCATGTATAGATATAAGTATGTGTTAATACTAGTACATGTATTTATAAACTAGTGTTTCCATAAGCACAACATTTGTTGAAATTAATGCTTAAACGCTGGTAAATTTGAGTTTTTTCACATTTCTTTAATAAACAGTTGGAATAATTCTTTTGTGAATTGGGTATTTAATTCCTTTACTCATTCTGCCTTTGGTTTCAATACAACAGAAACCAATTGTTAAACATTTTCTGTCACAGGAAGCTCACATCTAAGCACAAGACTAAATCATCTTGGACTACTCTAAGAGGACAAATGCTGACAAAGTGAGAACAGTAGAAGAGGGGCACCAGAACAGTTATCAATTTTGCAGCCAATCTCACATAATCCTAGACATTCTTCCCCAAGTTAGGAATAAGAAGCAAAGATTTGAGAGTATTCGCCACCAAAACAAAGGCCATCCTGTCAAGCTTACTAGATATCTTCACATGGAACTCTTATATAGTAGTGATAGAGGAGTACAAGTATTAAGTATGAGGAGCACTGCTAGGCTTCAAAGACGTCAGCATCCTCTGGGAGAACAACTGAGAGATAAGAACCCCTCACGCTCCTCCTCCAAACTCACGAAGAGAACTGAGATGGGAATAGAGTCTTTCCCTTAGGCAGGAGAAAGCAGATGCAAGTCACTGTCTTTGCTGCCTTTTGGCCCAGAGAATCCCTTCTGGCCTTCCTCATATTTTTTTGCCTCCTTTGGGCCTGCCTCTGCTCCCCAGCACATGATATGGCTCTTCTTGGCTTAGTAGGGCAGCTGCCAATGCTTCTCCATTTGTTCTGCTTTGGCAAGGAAAAGAGGTCCTGACTGTTGTGTACGAAATCCCCCAACAAGCACTTGTGCCGTTCCATCATCTCTAAATAAACTGTCTTGTGCATTGCGATACTGCTACCACAACAAGCCCAAACTCTATGGCTGCAGAACAAGGTGAACTGGCCTGTACCATCCTCTGAGGGACACGGACAGGAGATGAGGGGCCACAAGTCCTGACCTGGTCTGAAGTTCCTCCACCATAGCCCCACCCAACGAACTCCTGTCCTGACCGCATTGTTCCCCTCATAAGAACATCGGAGTAGCCTGGACATCGCCTTTGTGTATACCAGCCTTAATCCTGTACCCAGAGCTCCAGAATAAACTCAAAAGAAGCCAGAGATGCCATTCCATCTCAGGCCTACTCAGCTCTCCCCATGAAGACCCTTGTAAAGCAAAAGCCGCACAGGAATGAGCAATACAGCATAAAGGTTTGAAAACATTTCCGCACGATGGCTGTAGGCTCCACATATGAAAACTAAGTTCTGCTCCCTAGCCCTCTTCTCCCGCCCCTCCTTCCCAAAAAACGCTTCAGTCCATAGGAGTGCCAGAAATGATGGTAGCCTTCCATTTTGCCAGTTTAGGAAACTTCATCAGGCTGTCACTATTATTACATTTGTTTACAGCTGAAGCTTACGAAGCACTAAATCACCACTCTTCTCAGGCCTATTTTATTTTAAGAATTAAATTTTTCAGTATGATGTTGCTGCGAGCCGCTAAAAAAATAAAATAAAAATAAATTAGATAATAATTTTAAAAAATATATAAAAGTAATAAAAATTTAAAAAAAAAAAGAAATTAAATTTCCAAAATGGCATTGGCATGACCGTTGTTCTTGCATAAGCATTACATTTCCAGCACTTACGAGGTTATCAAGTTGTCTACTTCTGGGGTGCACGTCTCAAGAAACTAGGCCTAAACAGAGAAAGAAAATGCTGAAAATTCCAGGCTTAGAGGACATCACTAAATTACCAATACTCATGCCTTGCCCTGCTCCTCCTTCGCCATGGCAATCCATTTCTCAGGCTCCTACTGAATTCCATATTTTCTTCAGAAAGACTGAGGCCATAAGTGTTGAATTGTTGGCAGCCATGGCTACAGTCTTAAGGGAAGCACCCAGAGAGATCTCATCACTATATATGCCATACAGTGCCCTAACATGACAGGATATATAATTCCAATCAGAGGATAGTCAAGAGTTATGTCTTGTTATTTCATTTACCACTAAAAGACAAGAATTTGCTCATGTCATTAAATGACCTTTGATTGTTTCCTATGACTATTGGGTTTGGTGGGGTGATTGGGGAGAGAGTTTGTATTATAATGTATCTCTTAAAAAACAACCCTCAAAACCATTTTCTCATTTGTAACTAAGACAGAATGTTTCCAAGTCTTTGGAAATAACCACACATTGACAAAGAGTAAAGCACTGCCATAAAAACTATTAAGAGCACTGATAACCTTTTGAATTAGGTCCTTCCACTTCCTTAGAGTACACACAGAATGTTATATTTATGTCCATACACAACAATAAATTTATATTAAATTTAATATATGAAATACATATTAAAGTTCAATGTTTGTACATTATAGTTTGCATAACGAATTATCACTCCTGATTTTTGGGCAATTTCACTATATTATACAAAATCTTTAAGTGTTCATTTTCACTAAACCAGGAAAAATGCTTTTTATTGCCACATTTATTATATATTATCCATTCTAGTATATTTAATATATGTCACATTGTATACACATGTATGTGCACATTCATTTCACTTTAATTACATTTTGACTCATATTGTGTGTACTTTTATACAAAGTCTTCTGTACCACCTTATGTTATGTATGTAAATTACATGCTCCCATACCAACATATATTTTCCCTAGTTGGAATTTTCTCTCTACTGTATTATAGAAAGGAGTTTCTCTTCCAAGGAATCACAAAAGTAACACTTGCTGTTAGCAACCTTTTCAAATTTTAAGAATTTTAATACCTAAAATTTATTAAATTTTTTAAAATAAATAATTAAAATTTATTGAATTTCAAAATTTAAAAAACAGAAAAGGCAAAAATAAATATCTCGATTAAAACTACAAAAAATAACTTGTAAGTTCTTTGCCATAAATTTTTATATCTTCGCTATCCATATATATATATATATACATATATATATATATCATAAAGTCCCAGTTACCTTGTACCTCAAGTGTTCAGACATTAGTTCCTCACATTATAATTTGAGGTCTTTGAGAAAATCATTAACAACTCCTTAGAATATGCAACATTTCAATGTTGCCTCTCTCTATATTTTTACATTTGTTAGAATTAAAGCATATCTGTAATAAAATAAGCAGACATATTAGCCATGTACAAGGAAGTGCACTGAGGTCACACGTTACATTCAATCAAGCAGACAAGGGTTTTAAAAAACATGGGTGACTTCAATCCACCTCTTTTCTGTGATCAATTAAAGATATAAATTCATTAGGTTTCAAACAGCCAACAGATCAAGTTTTCACAAATAATTTCTTCTGCACCTATTTGTTCTTGGCTGTTTCTCAAATTACAAAAATATTTTCAGCTTCTTGAAAAATCTATCAAGAATACACAATGTATCAAAAAGAAATGGAAATACTTTATCTCAAATCTCACTCTCCCCAGGAGTCCAATCTTAGCACCTTAATGAATATATTGGTTAAAACATTATAAAAGTGATATACAACTGTTTATACTAACTGATGCTATTTAACTAAATATATTTAGCCTAGGCATGGCGGGGTGGCTAAGGCCTGTAACTCTAGCACCTGGGAGGCCAAGGCAGAGTTCAAAACAACCTGAGCAATAGCGAAGAAGCGGAACACGTCTCTATTAAAAAAGAAGAATTAGCCAACAAATAAATTATGTAGAAAAAAAGTAGCTGGCATGGTGGAATATACTGCATTCCAGCTACCCAGGAGGCTGAGACCAAGAGGTCTGCTTGAGACCACAGTTGGAGTTGCTGTGAAGCTGGCTGAAGCATGCACTCTACCCTTGGAAACAAAGCAAGATTCTGTCTGAAAAAAAGAAAAGAAAAGAAAAAAATAGATTTAGCCTACATCTCATCAATATATTCCCGATATTCCATAGCACAATGCTAACGTGCCTACAGAATAAACATTTCCATTTCTCTTCTTCAGATCCATCATGGTCACACTATACATGGACTTTCATGCCCTGAATTCTTGACTCAATATTGGACAGTGGACACATTCTACTAAGATTAACTATACATGGGGAATATCATAGTTTTGTATGATTTAATTTCATAGCATTCTTCAAATCTTAAGCAAATCATAAGAATAACATATATCTGGAAAAGAATCACTAAATGGAGTAAATACATAGAAGAAAAGTAATGATAATCTTGAGAAGATTAATAGATAGTTCACTAATGTTCGATCCTTTGCATTCTGCTCTTTTATATTTATCATTTAATTGTCTAGGTGTGAACATATGTGGACAGGTTGTCAGGATTTAGCGGTATGAATTTTCACTTACAGGATACATGTAAAATATCCTTTTAACTTGAGTTGCTTCATTCTATCATAGTTTTTTCAGGTCCTAAGCGACATGAGCCTTGTCATGTCATTCAATACATTTCAGAAAGCTTGATTTTCTGTTAAGGAGAATTGGAAATACCATTCTAGTAGCATAAAAATTTAAAGGAGAATCCTTATATCTTGCATGTATGTAGAAATGCACATGTTTTAAAGAAAAATATATGTTGAAATATGTTACTTTCTCAATTATATATTGGGACGATGTTTGTTTCTTGATCTTTTTAAAATTTCAAATGTAGCTTTTCTCATTTTTAACATTTCAAGACTTCAGACAAGTATTATTAAAACTAGAAGGCAAGCCATTGGAAATATCACTCTAGAAAATTACACACCATTAATTGCAAAGTAGGGAACTTGCTAGATAATCCCTTTGTGCCGACTCACTTTTTTGAAACCGTATTTTTATGTTTAAAACATAAATTAACAATGTATGTAAGAGATAGAATCAGACTTAATTTGTCATTTGTATTTTTTGATATTGGGCAACTAGAATGGTTTAATCCCAAAGTTAGAACATTTTGCATTTTCTTCCCTAAATTAAGGGTGTAGAATGTTCCCCTAATAAAGACTTGCTGAATGCATTACCATCTTTCCAAAGGCTTAAAAAGACTACATGCCATACCGTAAGGGAATCTGGAAAATGGACCCTTTTCTTCTTCCCAACCTCACCCTTGTAAAAGAAATTTCAATGATCCTCTTTAGCCCCAACTCTCTACTTTCCTGCGGACATATATATAGCTGTGTGATCACTTTGGGAAGGCAGTCTCTGGACAAAGGGTATGATATGTCAAATGTTAACTGATGTTGACCAATTGACCTTTGAAACAGTGAACAAAATAACAATATTTCTCACCTGGTAGGAGCTTGTCCAAATCTATAAATCATACAAAAACAGTGAATTCAATGGCTTCATTCTCAAGGGACTTGCTCAAGTTTATGATGAAGACTGAGGGGCATTATGCAAGAGCTTGTTGAACTACAATTCACTTCAGTAATGGTGAATTTGAGACTCTCTGATGATACAAAGAAGTGACTTAGCCATTTGCCACATTTCTTTCTGGGTGGTTGTCCTTTAAAATTCTCATTTTGAAACAGCTTTTGATCTGAGATGAGTGTCATAGTTTGGATAGTATTGAGGGTTAGCAACAGGTACAGTATCTTCTTAATGGTCTTGGTGTCTTCCTTGAATTCCTGAGACTTAGTAAGGTGCTAATGCTTTGTTTTTCCATCCATTCCCTGGCCGATGCAATCTCTTAATGAAAATCAAAATGTGGGTAAATAAAAAATTCTGGAGCATGATAAATTCCAGGACTAGGGCTACCTCTATCACCCAAAGTTTAACTCTACATGTGGTTCAATGTCTTCATACATCTGAATTCCCTAGGTTACCATATGGTCAAGTTAAACTATTACTGTACAGCAGGCAGTTTAACCCATCTGATACAAGGTTTCTTTCTGTCACCTGCTTAGCTCAAATAGGCTGAAGTGGTCAGAGGTCATCATTTACCTTCATAGGTTATTTGAGACCATTGAGACATGTCTTCTGAAGTGTCTCCAACCCCTCCTTGGCTGATCTCAACCAGTAACATACTCAAGCAAAGCTAGATCCAGGCAAGACTGCCAGAAGAGCCAATTTCCCCAGAAAACCAATGGTCCTTGTAATATTTGCTAGACACTTACTGGCAAGAGTTATAACTGAACATGGGTAAGCAGAGTTCAAGTGATGATCATATATTACAGAAATGCACTAGACAAAATTCCGTTATATATAAATACGTATATAATCAGTATGCTTGCATAGATAAAAGTATGTGCAAATACTGGTACATGTATTTATAAACTAGTGTATCCATAAGCACAAGGTTTCTTGACAATTAATTTTTAAACACTAGAAAATTTGCATTATATTTTGTTTCTTTAATAAACAGTTAGAATTCTTTTTTTGTGAATTGGGTATTCAATTCCTTTACTCATCCTGCCTTTGGTTTCAATACAACAGAAACCAATTGTTAAATAAATTCTGTCACAAGAAGCTCACATCTAAGCACAAGACTAAATCATCCTCCACTACCCTAAGAGGTCAGATGCTGACAGAGTGAGGACATAGAAAACGGGAACCAGAGCAGATCTCAATTTTGCAGCGAATCTCAAGTAATCCTAGACATTCTTACCCAAGTTGGGAACAAGAAGCACAGATTTGAAAATATTCAGCACCAAAACAATGGCCGTCTTGTCAGGCTTCCTAGGTATCTTCACATAGAAGTCTTATACAGCAGTGACAGAGGAGAAAAATTGTTAAGTGTGAGGAGCACTGCTAGGCTTCAAGGACCTCAGCATCCTCTGGGAGAACAAGTGAGAGATAAGAGACCACCTCTCCCTCCTTTCCAACCTCACCAAGAGAACTGAGACTGGAATACAGCCTTTGCCTTAGGCAGGAGAAAGAAGATGGAAGTCACTCTCTTTACTGCATTTTGGCCCAGAGAATCCCTTCTGACCTTCCTTACATTTTTACCTCCTTCTTGCCTGCCTCTGCTAGCCCAGTACATGGTATGGCTTTTCTTTGCTTACTAAGGTGGCCACCAATGCTTCTACATTAGTTCTCCTTCGTCAAGGCAACGGGTTCCAGACGTTTGTTGTGTATGAAATACTGCAGAAAGCACATGTGCTGTTCTATCACCTCCAAATAACCTGTCTTGTGCACTGTGACGCTGCTACTACTAGAAGCGAAAATTCTATGGCTCCAGAACAAGTTAACCTAGCCTGTACCACCCTCTGAGGGACAGGGACAGGAGATAAGGGGACACAAGTCCTGCCCTGGGCCCTGTGAGGTTTCCTGAACCAAAGCCCCACCCAACAACTTCCTGTGCCTGGTCTCCATTCTGCCCCTCAATTACAATCGCCAATACCTGTTCATTCCCTTTGTCATACCAGCATTAATCCTATATCCAGAGATCCCAGATTAACTCAAGAGAAGCCAGAGAGGTACAGTTCCAGGCCAGGGCCTACTCAGCCTCTCCACTGAAGGACCCTTCTAAATCGAAAGTCCCCACGGGAATGAAGCAATATGGCATACTGTGTGTGAAAACTGTTTCCGCACGATGGCAGTAGTGCTCCATATATGATAACAACTTGTGCTCCCTTGGTTCTCTTCTCCCGCCCTTCCTGTCTGAAAAAACGCCATCAAGATATAGGAGTACCAGGAAATATGGTAGCCTTCCATTTTG